GCGCTGCCTGTCTCAACACGTCGCACCTGCGCCTTCCTGAAGTGGCACCACGGGCTGTAGGGGTACGACTCGAGCAGCTCGCTATACGCGCTCATTGCCCTCTCCAGCCAGCCCTGCACGAGAGACACAGAAGGGAAAGCGCGGCAACATCATGTGTGTGCGTCCGACAAGCTCGCTCCACGTGCTGGGACCTTCAGGAAATGAGCCGCAGCACGTGGAGCGAAACGTCGGACAACAAGCCGGCTCGGCTCCTCTTTCACAGTGGGAATGGTGGAGCTGCACGGTACAGTACAGCAGTGGAGTCCCTATGATGACACAAGACATCCCTGTGAAATGGCACTTCCCACCAGGGCTCAGTAATGGAAAGTCGTAAGCCACCAGGTGAGAAGAAGGAGGAACAGCTTTATCGGTTCAGAATTTTATGGGGAGGTTGGTCATATGTAAATAATAATAATAATATCTGTGTGAACATGACAATCTCCGTCGGGTGCTGGAGGGTTAATGACAATAATTTATGAATAAAAACTACCACCACGTGGCCCTCAACCTAAACACAAACGTAGATCGATGATAATTAGGTTTGAAAACCGGTAACTCCCGGACAGATTTTCCGTGTGCGAGCGGAGTAGCGGAAAATCAATCGGAAGCCACAACAGCCAAAACATTTCTCTCTAAATCGGCGAAACGTTTTCTTGCTGTGAATCATCTTTGAATGTTCTGCCAACCTGCCACAAAGTGCCAAAGAGTGCCACAGCGGACTGCTGTGTCATTTTAGCAAATGCGAGCCCAAGGTTGGACACAAAAACACACTGTCAGTCCACACAAAAACAAATAAATAAAAGTGTGTATTTTTAACCTTCCCCGTTCTCTCTTGGGGCCCTGGCCAGCTTAAGACAGATGGAGGGCTCCGGCTCTGTTTCGTGCAAGACATTTATTGAGTTTCATTGATTTTTGGAGAGTAAAGCACTCGGTTGGAAAAGCCATCTATCGCAAAAAAATGTCCCGCAAGAGGTCCCTGCGACATCAGCCACGGAATATTTATTATTACGAAAGCCATTTGCCCACGGGCAGCCGTGTGGGGCCATCTGGCCAGCGGCGCACCGGGCGCCGCTCCCGGGTCGCGATTATTTCTGCCTCCGACTTAGGAGGCGTGCGTGCCATCGTAGCACCGCCATCGCACGCCGGGAAGCGTGACCGCCCTTGGGGTAAACTCTAAATAAAGGGGCAGAGGGCAGCAGCCGTGGGCAGCAGACGTGGGTGGGGGGGAAGCCCGTGAAGAAGAATGAGCGTGGCTCTTCGACGGATTGTCCAGTTTGTGCCACGTGTCGTTTGGCATGTCCGACAACCTGAGCCGCAGCACGTGGAGCGAAACGTTGGACGACAAGCCGGTTCGGCTCCTCTTTCACAGTGAGAATGGTGGAGCTGCGCGGTACAGTACAACAGTGGAGTCCTATGAAGACACGAGACATGCCTGTAAAATGGCACTTGCCACCAGGGCTCAATTCTGACTGAATATATTACAGGGTCGCTGGTGGACTGGAAATGGTGGTACGTTACTCGCAGCCGCAAACACAATGAGAGGTATAATGGATGTGGTGTGACGGGCACGGGTATTCCTTTTGGATCACGGACCTGTACACCCCAGGCTGGAATTAAGCCCTTCTTCCCCTTGGCCCTCGTCCACTCCTCTGACGAACATAGCCTTTGACTCTCAAACCTGACATCACCTCCTCCCGCGTTATCTTCCTCAACCCCCGCCTCTTCCGTGACCCTCGTGGCGGCAACGTCACCGTGTGGCTGACTGTCATTGGCACGGCAACGAATGAGAATGTGGCGAAAAATATGTTTTAATTACAGAGGAATTGCCTTGAGCTGTTAGGATAATCAAACTACCGGCGGCTCTCGCTCACACGCGACCACGTACCCCGATAATAACAATTTGGTTATCGTTTTGTAATTTGTGCCATTATAGCACGAGGTCACCACGAAATAATTGTGTTTGACAGATGGGTATAGTCTACCAGGAGGGTGCGATGCTGCTAATTGACTTTACCCAATGAAGTAATTTGCAATTTTTCAAAGTTGGAAAATATGGACCATGGCAGCGGCACACAAGGCCTACCCCGTTTTTGGATAACGTCACGAAATCTTTAACGTTCATCGTGAAGCAGAAGGTGCGTGGCATTTAAGGTATTAACCAGGGTGGCCACTGGGCTCGAACCCGATAAAGATACCTACATCAGGCCGTGATTACGAGCCAGACGACCGGTGTCCCAAGGTCCCCTGTAGGAGCACAAGAGGTGGTGCCCTCACCTTCAAGTAGAATTTCTCGGCCCATTCCAGCTCCTCCAGCACGTCCCAGTCAAATCTGTTGAGAAGCTTCTGATGCAGCTGAGGAAAGCCTGGGGGAGATAATGGCTCAGGGCCTTACGGATCGTTCAACATTTAAACTTAAATCTTTCTCCCCCAAATTTCATCCCTGATTGTGTCGCGCCACGGAGTTGAAGAATCCACTTGGATCTCTCGCAGACCAGCGGCGGCCCTTCGTGTGAGACAGAGTTGCCTTCACGTGACATCTGTTCCACGTTGCAGAGGGCATCACTTTCCTACTCGTTTTACCACCAAGAGAAATGTTTGTCACTTGACGGCCAAACTCTCGGAGCTGAAATTTAGCTAAATTAAGCACAGACCCATATTTAACATTGTTGGGGGTTTTCCTGTGTGTGCAGTTATTGGTAACCAGGCTGATAACATCGACTCGTTACATTTGATAACCTGGTTTAATCACTGGCTACTGCCTGGATTCGAACCCATGTGCTTGACAGTGCCAGCTGAACGCTCTGATCCCAGGCCACCCGGCCACCTCTAGTGGTACCTAATTTATCAACATGGGAGGAACGATGGTCCCCAAGTTGACCCATTAACAGCACTTGCACCTGCAAGATTCCCGTCATTGCGATTCGAGCCGTCTCTTAGCGAGCGCCACGCGGCCGGATTTCACGCGATATCTGCACGGTCCACATACGGACTCCAGGACAGTCCTTCACGAGAAAATCGCACGGGAAAGAAACATGGAAATATGACCTTTGCAGCTGCAAGAGCGAGTGCTGTCTGGCAGCAAGGTGATTAATCTACCCAGGGACACGGGGAGAACTGGAGGCGCAAATCTCGCCATCGTGCAGCAGCCCCTGCCAGTGGGAACCCACGGAACCATTAACGGAATTAAAAATTGAGGCTCAAGAACAAAAAAAAACAATCGAATCACGTCAGGGGTCAGCAGCGTGGGTCAGAGGCAGAGGCAGTCCTGACACGACCGATTTTGAGATGGGGTATTCTGTGTCACTTTCAAAATGACCTTTTGGGTTTTTTCAGCTTCAGAGACGTCACCAGCGATAGGAGACCACAAATCATGCGACGAGTTAAATGAGCAACAACTTACTCGCACTGACTCGCATAGGTACCGATATATACATGTAAAGCAGCGCAGCAATGTGTAGAGGAGAATGACTTCAATCGTCGCTGTGACACGGACACTGACAGAGACTATGGAACAAAATATGAAAAGTGTGCCAAGAAGCATGGACAGGAAGGTGCTTGGGATTACACCGAGACAGAAAGATGAACGCATGGATAAGAGACCACATGCAGGTTAAAGGTCATCACTGAGACTCTTGGGAAGGGTTAAGTAGGCCCGGGAAGGGCGCGTCGCGAGAAGGGATGATGACCGATAGGCGAGAAGACAATCGAGCAGCAGCCAAGGGAGAGAACACGCGAGAGGGGTTACGCGCACATGGAGATGGAGCGATGAGATCAGGATTGTCACATCGCGAGATCGTGAAAGATGACGGTGGCTTGGGGAGACATTCGGCAGTGGAAATATAACGGCTGATTATATAGCGCTAATTTACCCAGGAGAGCCACGCTCAGTGCTTAGACTACTTTTCATTATTTTAGCGATGGGAGAAAACAACCCGGAGACAACCCCTGCTCCATGCTGAACGGTATTGGGGGGGGGGCCATACAAACTCCACACGGAAAAAGGCACCCGAGTCAGGAACCGACGCAAGTGTTACGATACTGACGCGAGCCAGTGAACACAATGCCGGAAACGCACCGACGAAGGGACATCGGCCGTTCTTATTCTAACGCGAACAGACCGGCGCACGTTTCCACGTCGTGACCAGCGAGACGATAAAAAAAAACATTTTAGCGAAGAGACCGCTCCACGAAGAGACTGCTCCACGAAGAGCAACGCGCTCGCACAGGCGCGGGGGGCATCTTTGAGCTCTCGTTTTTCCCGCGGGGGACTTTGCAGGAAGCGCAGAAACAAATCTCACCGAGGGCCACAGCAGGCGCAGCAAGAGGCAGATGTTGTTGGAAACGATCGGCACACGCATACGGCGCACATCATTGTCGGCGGGACAGCCGCCCCGGGGAGGCCTGCCATTCACACAACGCAGCGGCCCTGTACACTACGCCATGTGCACTGGAGGCCCCTGTACACGCAAGGAAAGTGTCCTTTTAATGTTTTCATTCGCTTGCAGTTATGATACCTTACAAAATGGCCAATTGTTAAAATAATGATGTGCATTATTCACACATTTATTTCTGAGAACCATGTTGGGTCAGGCAAGGGGGGTACCTCGGTTGAAACTAAATTCAACGGGGGGGGGGGGGCAGAGTATCCAAAGACGGTCGAGGACCACTGGTCTTGATCCCCATATTTTAAGTTCCTCTGGATTGCAAGTTCCAGTAGTGGTGCTGACCATCGACACCGCGGCGGTAGCGATCCCTTGTGATGACAACGCTGTGTCGTATCATTACACTGAACACTCCCAGTCGCTCCCAGTCATCCGCTGAGCGCAGAGTTCAGCTTGCCGACCACCGAGGACGAGAATTACAACAAGCACTGAAGAGAGAACGGGTGAGGAAAACAAACAACGGAGGAGGAGTCAGGAACAGCGCGTGAAGGAAGAACAGAAAGGAAGCAAGCCGTGGTGAACTGTGAACTTTTTTTTAATTGCACTGGCAACACGACCGCCACCTTTGTCCCCGCCGCACGTCCAAGACGCGCACCTGCAACGTTTCGCAGCGCAGGGCCAGTCGCGGGGCCGGTCGTCGCGATCGTCCTCGAAGGCAACTCCCGAACGTCGCGGGCCGCGACAACGCGCAAGCCTCGACGCCAAATCTCCCGGCTCGCTCCCGTCCACGCGGCGAGTCGTCGGCCACGGCCAAGGCGGAAAGAAAAGAACGGCGAAGGCGCCGTCAACACGTTGCTGAGGTAGCGGCGGGGTGGGCGCAGGAGGCCAGTGTCTCGTTCACCGATGCGTACATAGCAATAGCCCTCCCGGATAATAATACAAGTCAAACGGATTTTACGAGAGCTGAATAGAGGTTTGCTGGTTTGGTTGCAGTGGACGATAGCAAAAAATGCTTCCGTGAAGTCCGACAAGGGCTGGGTGAATGCTCGAGGCGTTTTGTTTACCACGAATGGATTTTATTTCGAATCGCCGCGCTTTTGCTCCATTCGATAAACAATGAGTGAGCAGCACAAAAGGTCAGCTACTTTAGCCGTCCACGGTACACGGTACACACACGCAGACACACGGCTAGAGAAATGCCCCCACCGGCGGCTGAAAATGCCAACGCCGCCCGGAGCACACAAATTGCCGAACGGTGAATCCGACGCTGGTAACCGCCTCGCGCGAGGTGAACAACGTGCAGCAGCAGCAGCAGCCACCCATGTTCAGTCCACTGCTGGATGAGGGCCTCCCCACACCGTGCGGGTTGTGGGGGTTACTCGACCATACTTCACCGCGTCGGGTCAGTGCCGGTTGATAGAAGACGGGGGGAACCTTACACGTGGGAATACAGTATTGTACAGATGTCTTGTGACCCCCCCCCCCCAATTAATTGACCCCTGAAATGTTTTTTTCCCCTTTTCAAATTAATTTCTGTTTTGAATAAACTTTACTTTAAAAAAAAGTTTTAGAGAATGAAATGAGGGTCACAAGACATCTGGACCACCCTGTGTACAGCAACGACGACTTTTGCCCTCTGCCGATCAGCAAGCAGCAGAAGCGTTGCAGCCGCCTACGGCAGCAGCCTGACATGCACCGGTGGCCACCCCATCCCAAGCTCTGTCCAGGCTCAAGCCCTGCTTAGCCTCCGAGATGGGGCGCATTGCGGGCTGACTGGCCATCATGGGGCCGTGCACTGGCTCCTGTAACGTTCCAAAACGGGCTGACTGGCCATCATGGGGCCGTGCACTGGCTCCTGTAACGTTCCAAAACGGGCTGACTGGCCATCATGGGGCCGTGCACTGGCTCCTGTAACGTTCCAAAACGGGCTGACTGGCCATCATGGGGCCGTGCACTGGCTCCTGTAACGTTCCAAAACGCGTTCACGTCCGGTGCGAAGGGCGCGCCAATTTGGGAACGTGGCGTCGTAACTTTTGCCTGTGCGGACATGCACGGCAGCTCGCCTCGTAGAGGCTTCAACAAAATAAAAACAGGAACAGCCTCGTACAATTTAAATTTCCTAAAAGCCAAGCTTAATAAGAGCTTGGCACTTCTCGTAAAACCGGACGTCACGGTATTTACAAATGGGGAAAGGCACCGACAGCCGCACACAGCCACGGCAAACTTGCTCACACGCCGTCGCGAGTAGCCGAGGACGCCTGCCACCAAGCTTAAGCATTGAAACTTTACAGAAAGAAATGTACACGGATACCTCTCTATACACGGCAAAAAAACTCCCCACAAAAACTACACGCAGTTACATTGTCAGTGGCGGGCAAGCGTGGTGGGCGCAGGATTAATATCAAACGTGGAGGCACGGGGTGGAACGGCGATGGATTATAGTGGTTTCATGAGCCATCGTTGCAAGCCAGAGGTCTGTTCCAATGACCGATTACTTTTTGCTCGGGGCGCACGCAAGTGGCGCGCCTCGAGTGTGCAGGCGGCGCAACTGCACCGGGGCTCACGGGCTGGAGGAAGTCCAGATGCTGGGGTACAAAAAAGGGGAGATGGGGGGAGAGGTGTAAATGAACAGGGGGTGGCCCATATCAGGGCCCACGCCAACCAAGCTACTGCGACACTGGTGTACACCCCAAGACTGTAGGGTAAAACAGGACTCCGGGTAACGGCGGATCAGTCAATCCCGTCCTGGTTTTGCAAATGTCGTGCAGGAGCTGTGTGGCTTGTACAGGTGACTTGCCGTTGTGGTGTTACATCAGCACCTGAGGAGATTCCACCGCTCAGGATGGAATCAGCACCACATGGCGCAGTGCCAATGTCACGCACTGATCATCGTCGATGTCGTCATCAGGAATTACCAAGCCACTGCTGGATGAAGGTCCCACCCAAGACGCAACCATTACTCATGATCCTGCGATTTAACAATCCACCCGGCAACTTGCACATGAGCTTTCTGTATCGGTCAACTCTCGATTGTCGGGCACAATTGAAATGGGGGGGGGGGGGGGGTGGCCCGGATAAAACAAAACCACGGATAATGAAATTCACACCTCAGTGAGGCTATATAAATGTATTTATTGTTTACCGACATACAGCGGGGGAATGAAAGCATAGAAAGCGTCATCTATTTTTACTGCCGCATAAATGAATAGATTTATAGATGTAATTGCCGTCACGTGAGTCCATGGCCCTCGACGAGTGAGGAGCAGCTCGCTAATTGAAGCGGCTTGTGTAAATATATATTTCGCAGGCACGATTAATCCGCAACCCAGATAGTCCACCCCCGGACAACCGGGAGCTAACTTGATTCGCGTCACGAGCTTGCGCAGCAAAGGTTGTAAAATTGTGCCACACTTGGATATTGTAAATATTACCAGGTTCGCGCCATCGGTGCCTGCGTGCGCACGCCCACGCGAGCGAAGCTGCCGATGCGTGAAAGCACTCTAACGTAAACTTATCGCCGCGCTAATACAGCACACTGCTTCACCATCAGATTCCCCAACTGATGTGGACGTACAAAAATAGGGTTCTCAAGAATGTGACAGTCGATCATTCGGCAGGAACCTAATTTTGAAACGGCAAGAGCGCGCCCTCGTGGGCCGTGTGCTGGAGCTTGCGCGAAGCGCGTGCAGAGAGTCGGAGGCGCCGATTTACCCACAACGGTGACCTCACCGTGACCTCACCGTGACCTCACCGTGACCCAGCCGGACAGCAATTCGGCGTGTCCTCGAAATACCGGGATCCTTCACGGCTGGGGCATCCTGGTGTGTCGATTTTTTAAATAAAACCCTCTGATGCATCCCATGTTCAGCTTGTAATGTTGTTTATATTGCTTTTTAAATTCATAAATATATAAAAACAATATAAAAGAGAGATTAAAGCACACAAAAAACCACTGAAACCACAAGCCAATTCTGGAATTTGCCGTCCAACGCGACAGCGGTTACTTTTCCAAACTAAACTGGGGCGGCCCCGGTACGTGCGCAGCGTGGAGAAGCATCTGACAATGAGTCGCCGCCGCTTTGCGCGCCATTCCATTGTTTTTTTGCGCTTCGATTTTTCCACCCGTTGAATGTTTACAGGCCCGGCCCTACACACCCCGTCACACCACAGGCCACGGTTTTATCGACGCGCGTTATTCCGCGGACACGCTGCACCCGCCCTCGTACGCCGAGCTGTCCCGCGTGTTGCCGAGGTTGCGTACCGCGTGCCATATGGCAGCGTGATGTCCGACGTTTCGCGCCGCGCGCATTGGAGGAACGGTTCCCAAAGAGGCTTCTTGAGCTCCCAGCACGCGGAGCAAAACACGGGGAGATCACGTTGGCGAACAGCACGTAGCGGCATCACCCAGAAGAACACATCGAGAGCTGAGCAGCACGACCATGCACACCGATGCGGTTGTACAACACTCGACCGCTGCACCAATCTCCCTGGCGACTGGCCCAGCTCCAGCACCTCTCGGAAGTGGGGGGGGGGCGGTGGGGGGACAAGTAGGGCCGTTGTGTGGGGGGGGGCACCGTGACAGTGATTTACCGCTCAGTGAACTTGGGTGGGCGAAAACGGACATTTTGATGGTGCAGGGCCCACCCATGCATCTCCCCTAGCACCGGCCCTGTCTGGCACTCGATGCTATTCAATCGCGTCGCACACGCCGTTAAACAATTGACCGTGGCCTCGGGGGCCTAATTTTGTCCTCCGTGGTTTGATGGATGCAGAAGTCCGCCGATGACCTGAACAAATGATGGTGCCACGCACTCACATTTCGGCCGTCCCACGTTTCAGCGTCGCCCCTTTGGGATGCAGCTGCTGCTGTACAGTGGCTAATGACTCGTGGGGGGTGGTTATGAGATTGGGCAGGGGAGGGAGAGTAGAGCCCCCCTCCCCGTTCCCTGTGAGAGGAGGTCAATCATGGGTCAAGCAAGCGGGAGGCGGAGGGAATGGGACGGGAGATAGAATATCGACGACGTCATGCACGGTCAATGGAAGCTCGCCGATCGTGAAGTTGCGACCGTGTGATTTGCCTCGTAGGCTGTGCCAACCGGCCTGCGTCCAGCGTGGGTCCGTGTAAGGGCCCTGCAGGTGAACAGAATGGGGGGGGGGGGGGCACTCTTGATCGTTGGTGGGTTTATAGGTGGTCGGGTCCATTGGACAATTACCCTCAGTGGCGGAGCGGGATGGAAAGTGCTGCCCCCTGTTGCGTAGGGATCTCGGGTGGCAGCTCTGTGATATCCGCTTCCGTGGGCCGTTGGCTAACACCAAGTGCTGCACCGCTCTGCGAGGGATCCCAATGTTCTCTCGGCCTCGTGACAACGCATCGCGCTCAACCCTTATGACCCATGGCACGTGATCGATCGTCCACGACCGTGCGTGCACACCGGTTTTCTTTTGCAGCACAACTTTGCAAATCAACACGCCAACGCTTTGATTTTACAGTGCATGTAACCACGCGCTATCGGAAATAAAACATCACACGTGCAGTCACTCTGGTGCGAGCAGGAAGCAGAGACCGCTCAGGTGCACTGCTTTTGTACAAAAGTTTTGAGCGACTCGACAAAACCGGCTTCAAAACCGCAGCTGTACACTCTCGATGAAGGAATATTTTGACGAGAAGAATAAACAAAAAGCATAACTCTGTAAATGTCCCACTTCATAAGTTAAGCATGCCTACACCTACACATTCTAAATCGGGTTATACATTCGACAGATCATGACACCCCTCTTCAATCGGCGCGCCTTTTTAAATCCGGCACGCGGTATGCTATCAGATGTGTAAATAAGGCGCATCACAAGCCACGTGTGTCGGTCAACAATTGCGCGCACAAAGCGTATCGACAATTAAAGGCGCTGGCTCAAAAAACACCTCTCTGACAGCCAAAGTCAGCCTGGCAGCTTCTCGTATAACCCTTCACAATCCGTCTCTTCTCCTGTGACAATCCTCACGGGAGCTAAAGGAACACAGACTCCTTCCGCGTGATGTAACGGGGCTCAAACTGACTATTCCCACGGCAGCGTTTTGTTTATGCTCCTGGCCGACCCATCCATCCCATCCTGCACTGCCTGGCTCCTGAAAGTGCCTGCCCCAGAAGTTAATCTGACGATTTGGGGCGGCCCCATCGGTTCCTGGGAGTGGGGTGACACACCAGAGTGGGCTGACACACCAGAGTGGGTGACACACCGACTCGCAAAATTCTGACTACACGAGGACGACTCGATTGAAAGCCCTCTAAGCTCCTGCACAACCACGTGATTTTATTATGTTTTGATTACTTATCACTGTTGTTGGATAAGGTTGAAGACAATCATCTCTGTCTATAATGTCGGGGAGGGATTGAGGGGGGGGGGGAAACAATAACTCTCATCAAGACGATCCAAGACGAATTGAGCTTCCGATGGACGTTGTTCTGCTGCTAGGGAGTCTGATCCTAGAGGGCACTGGCCACACTAGCCACAGCGTTGCCCGTGGCCTCCCCGGCAAAGCCGCTACCCGAGCTCCGGGTAGCGCCGCTCCATTGCTATGGCAAATGACACACTTCCTAGGACAAATGCACGTCGGTGGAAAGCATTCCAGCATCCATGCATATGCATGATTCGTCTTCCTTGTGGAAAGTTGGCGCGGTGCATCCAGCGGTCACGCGAAACCCATTCCGTACGAGATGCTGCCAACCGGAACGCGTCACTCCCGACGTGTGACTCGACGCATGCGCTCAATTTTTGTTCCTCGGTTTGTTTTTCTCTCTGCATGAATTAACTTTGCGTTTTTTTTTCTCCCCCCCCCCCCCACGTTCATATCGTCGTGACAATTTAAAAAAAAAAACATTTGACCCGAGGCGCAAGCTCAAATGGTGTGAGTCTTTTTCCTCTTCTCCGATGACTCTTTGTGGGGCGCGGTGGCATCGGGGGGCGCCTTGAGCGGGGAGTCGTACACCACCGGCCCGTAGCCGTTGCCCGACTCCACCAACACGCACTGGAAGTAGCGCACGGGAGCTGCCGGCGGTGGCGGCGGCGGTGGTGGCGGCGACGTCGGAAACGAGACGGAGAGGAGGACAAGGCAGGAGCAGTGGCGACGGGGGTTGAAGAGACAGAGCAGACGAAGGAGGAGGGTAACGAGGGGGGAAAGGGACAGGCAGAGGAAACGACAGAAAGAGGAAAATCAGTTGTGTGCTGCAACCGTTTAGGGTTTTCCCTCGTGCTAAGGAGAGCCCTAGCAGAGTGTCAGACTCAGAGGTGGAAGGTCGTGAGTTTGTATTGACGTCGCGATGGGAGGGAGGGCGGGAGGACTCAGTTGGAGGGGGCCGATCCAATCATCCCCCTTCGGGGGTCAACAGGATTAACACCGCTATCGATAACAGCGCACCACGTACTGCCGCTCGCCAAACCACTGTTGGATGAGGGCCTCCCCATATCATGGTGGGTGATGTGAACCACACTTCGACACGCTGGTTCAGCAGTGTCGGTTGAGGCGGGCAGTGTAGAAGTACGGTCTAATGGCAGTGAATGCACGCCCCTCCACTGCCCACACTGTGACGCCTTGTTTGCGCTCACCCATTCGAGCACTGTCGATGCTCGACCCTGCTTCGCTTCTGAAATCTTACACGACACAAGTGATTTTGAGTCATAGGCAAAGTAAGACAGCATCGCGGTAAACAAATAAATAATGGTGAAGCATTTTTTTTTACCTTTGCCTTTCGAGCTTGTTTTCGGCACGCCACCTGCAACAACCGCACAACACAACTCAATTCTCCACGCGGAAGCGGCGGCCGTGCCGGAAGGACGATGCCGAACCGACGCCTGCTCCCGCGGCGCCGGATTATTACCGCGATGTGCACATGGACGGAAGCTCTCCCGTGAATGTTTAACAGTGTTGGGTGGCTCGGTGGTCCGAGTGCTGAGATGGCACCACTGGAAACCTGGGTTTTGAACCCAGGTTTCAACCGGATTCTCAAGCGTAACGAACCGATTGGTGTCAGCCCGGTCAACAGTGACAGCAGGCACACAAAAAAAACACCCGTCACGTTAAATTTGATTCTGAACCCAATTTGGCAAAATGTTATCTCGAAAAAAATAAACGCGTTGTGGTCATGCAACGAAGAATACTCTGTGGCGCAGGGAGGATGGGAAAGTTCCGCCCCCTAATGCGTGGACCAGAGGTCACTTGAAGGGATGTCAGCGGTAGCTCTGTGACATCCGCTTCCATGGGCCAGTCTCTAACACGCAGGTTCGCGCTGCACGGTGAGGGATCCGAACCGGATTCTTCGTCCTATGAGAGGACGCCCGTTCGCGGAAGTGAGATATGAAAACATTTAAAAGGGAAAAGAAGCAAAAACATTTTCTTGCAAACAAATAAAAAAGTGTAATAATGTGACACCTTACCTCCGAGTTGAGAGAGGGGGACGTCCTTCTCAAGTCCGGCCACCAGAGCTGAAACGAGCGATACAATTCAACGACAAGCATCAGCACTGCCGTCAGCCGACACAGGCACACCGCGAGACGGCCTACCGGAAACCGGGCCCAGGCGGTGTCGCGTTCGCCACTCGGCAGGGGGCTTCACCGATCGAATCCAGCAGTCCGCTCCGGTTATTACTGCGGGTGTATTGACTGCACGAATACGTGCCGTCTGCCGGACGGCGGGCGTCGCAGATCGCAAGATGCAATCCGCAAAAAAGTAGGGCGTTGTGTGCGGGCGGTCGTGGTCGTGGAAATTTGGTTCAGAGTGTGGTCAGACATATGAGGCTGAGGGGGACTCACTCTCATTCAGTTCTGTCTTTTTCACCTTCCTCTTCGCCGAACCTTTGAAGTGAAGAGAGCAGGCAAATTATTATCGAGTTCACTCTAAATAAAAAAATCAATGAAACCAGATGTACTGTGGTGAAAGGGGGCACAGCGGCGTCACCTCAATTAACAGACACAAAGAGGCTCACCTGAATCATCCTCTTCGACGGCAGCTGCCGAACGAACACAGAAACACCCAGAGATGAGATGTCAGAATTTAAGGATTTGCAGTCACAGGGCGCCTAAGTGACAAGACAGCTCAAGGCACCTTGCAGAAGAACAATAATCACATAATGCGCAATTTTCACTGGGGAATGTGTTTTTATAATACCCAATGCAAACGTACAGAATGTTTAACACGTAGGCTTTCGCGACCAATATCATCCGTAATAGAGGGGTTTTTTTTTAGTTAGATCGCGTAAATATATAAAAGTGTCGTTAAACCCGCCACCACGTTATGAACGTGCAGAATGCTCCCACAGGAGTGGCATGGTTAGCAGCGCACTGGACTGGCACTCCGGAGGTCGCCGGTTTGATCTTCCGGCGTGGCAGCTTAAACGATAAGTTTTCGTAAACACCCCCCCCCACCACCCGCTCTCTGTCCACCCAGTAACGTGAATGGCTCCAACACAGCCGAATGGCACACGTCTGGTGGGGTAAAGTGTTGGTACTCCCACTTCTTCCAAGATGTCTGGCCAGCGTGGAAGAGGAGGCCAGAAATACCCTCGCGGTGAGCCCTCTCGCGCCCTTCTGCCAGCAGCGGCATCAGCACGACATATCGGGGGGCCGTGTCTTTGCCCGTCCGCTCCAGAATTGACAAAGGGGTGGCGCTTGTAGAGCAATAATACACGCGGATACGCACCTGGGATTAGCTTTGCTTTGGCCGTCTTGGCTGCAACGAATGCAACAAAAAATAAATGGTTACTGCACAACGATCCTCACCGAGGGCAAGAGTAGGAGACGGCTCCAAGCACAGCCGAGAATAAATCCGCCGAGTTCGAGCGCACGCAGACAACCCCGCGCGGAGCGACGAGGAGCGGCGGGTGGAGCAGCGCCTAATGAGCTGGAAGGCCTTACCAGAGGGCGTCGCAGCAGATGCCTCTTCTGAGATATTAAGTTAAGGCAACGAGCAAGCAAGGGGCGTTGGTATCCAGGAATAACGGTCGCGTCTTTAAATGGCTCGGAAGGGTTCATGAGCGTCTTGTTGCTGGTGTCACTGTTGTGTGCGTCGTTATGTTACGAAATTAACCGTTCTGAAAATTAGTACATTTGGATGCAGTGAGCATGGAATGAGGCCCGAGGCCGACGGAATAATCAGGCGTGAAAACTGGTCATAGGCCGATACGCAGAGCCAAATCTTGGAAGAATAGAGACGTGAACATAAATAATTAAATAAACTCTCGCCAATCACGTGAATCGTAAGGCGGGCGGAAAATTATAGAATTTTACGGTGAATTACACCGGGAGGAGCAGAAAAAAACCGTACACGTTCAGGCGTGTCGTCAAATAAAGGCGATTACAAACGATTTTTGTTTAGATACAAATTTAATTTTCACAATTTTTCCTCGCAGCTTACGACAGCGGCAACGGCCAAATCTGACGCCCGGGGGGGGGGGGGGGGGGGGCGCGTGGGAGGTGCGGCATCTCGAACAACCGTGCAGAGCGTTGACGAGTGGACGCACGGCGTGCTCACACACGACTTGGCAGCGGCAACGTCAAGTTCGCGTGCAACGGTGGGCCCACGCTCGTGCGACGTGGCCGCGCGTTGACTCGCGGTGTGCGCGTGTAATTGTAGCGGCACGTACACAGCCCGTTGGTGATCCGCTGCTGGATAAGGGCTTCCCTACGCCTGCAGGGACCATATTTCAGCACCATGGTCAGTTGGTAATGGGTAGAGGGCAGCTGTTGGAGCACGGTACAGTCCAATAATCGATTTTGCTGCACTGCTCTATGCTGACTGCACTCTCTGCATCAGACTTTGCCATTCAGTTTCGTGCTCGATGGTGGTCGCCCATCCAACCACTATCCAGGCTGTTGCCTGCTTAGCTTCCGCAAAGTGACGAGATCAGGCACATACAGATCACAGAAGCTAAGCACGGTTTAGCCTGGATAGTGCTTTGGATGGGCCACAACCATGCATTAAACAGGCGTTATAGTCTGCTCCAGGGGTTACGATGTAGGCAGCAGCAGGGGCAGTACAGCTAAATAAATTGTTATTATGTACTAGGCTGTCATGTCTATGCTCCCCGGCTAAATCAAGCCACACTGAGCAGCAATATGGTCAAACAGCTTTCACGGGTGGCAAGGCGTGGGTAGGACTTCATCCAGCAGCGAATTGCACGTGGACATCCCTTTCGGCAATGCCCAATCGTTACCTGGCTGCGCCACCTTCTCCTTATCCTTCGTCACGACAGGCTCCGTTTCTAGCAGAGCAAAGGTCACGAGCGAGGTCAACATGTTACTGTGCAGTCGCTCATCGCTCAGCGATAACAAACACATCAACAAGGGCAGCATCATAGGAAGGCAAATGGAAAAAACTAAATGGCAGCTTGTAGATACGCGAGATTCGAACACTTGTAATTGTATTTCGATTTAAAGCTTTCGTGACTGCAGGGATTCATCTTCTTGGTTCTTTCGGTAAAGTCACGTAGAAAGGAAATAATACAATAATAAAATAAAACATTATAAAATTAAATTCTCACGACGTTTCGGCCACAACACAAGCAGCCGTCCTCAGGTGAAGAAACAGAACTGTCGGAAAGACAGCGCTCCAATGAACACTGCTAAGCTTGGCAGCGTATTTTAAGCTAGGTGGGAGGAGCAGAGCGCCTTGACAAAGGAGTTTACATATCAACAGAAGAATTTAGCATTTAAGTAGCTATGTTAAACTTTTAATTGTCTTCCGCTATCCTACCATTTTAAAAGTGTTTTTTTTTAATCATGAGTTTTTTTTTTTATAACGATCTGAGTTCAGAACTATATTTGGTGCATCCCTATGTTTTCATTAATCCGGGTTCCCATTGAGCTACTTGGGACTCTAAGCTTGTACTTGGTTCGCTTGTGCCTAGCGCTGCCACTGGACCCAGTGGCCAGGCTGTGAAGAGGGATGGGAAATGGACACAAGAGGCCACTTTTAATTCCTTAAACCAGGGCGCACGTCAACCGTGGTGAGATACGTTTGTGCGTTGTTAGGCTGCGTCTTCCCTTCATCCCTTAGACTTGGCTTAGGGGGAAGTGCGGTGAAGGCGACTGATTTACTCTTCGCGGGTTCTTCGGGAGGAGTCGGAGCCGGAGGCTTCTTCGGTGCTGCCGACACAACAAAAGCAGGGCACGGGCCAATCGCTCGCGAAGAGGCGGAGCCACAGCTCGCGGGCGGACGAGCCCAGACAGGCAAAGACGCAGCCCGCTGGATTGCAGTGCACTTGCACAGAGAGGTCAACGTCGCATATCCGACAGACTCATGTCCACGGTGGCGAGATGTTATCTCCTTCGCCTGGTATGCAGGAGGTCGTTGGTTCGATCCCGACCCAGATGCCTGCTGTATATTTACAGTTCGCATGTCTTTCTCTCTCCCCGTGGTCGCGCGGATTTTTCTCCGGGTCCTCCGGTTTATCCCTCCACATTTAGAATCACGCGTTTAGAGTATTTGGCTGCTATAAATTAACACGTGGTAAGCCACTTAGCTGAGTGATCATTTGTGGCCAGGTCGCTTCTATTTGGCCAGGGTGGATATGCGGCGGTCGGATATGCGACTCTGTACGGCGCGTGCTGCGCGTGCATTGTTCGGCCAGGGTTTTTACCGGCGGGCTTGGCGTGTGGGCTCGCCGGGTGCGAGTGGCTGTCTGCAAACACAAACGACGGACGGTTAAATCGTGATGACAGCAGCAGCAGCAGCTCAACCGCAACAGCTTGCCCAATACTCGCACCTGCAGTCCGTGTCGTGAGACAAAGACATTTCCACTCGGGGCTCTGCTGCCACCAGTGGATCGCCCTATCATGGGGAAGTTGGGATTGTCCCTGGGGGGGTACAACTGCCCCCCCCCCGCCTAGAAGACGACGTCACGAAACTACTCCCGAGGTGACTCCTGTCGTGTCTTTGCACTGTTTGGGGTTGTAACTTTCTGACCCCGTGTCCCTGCTGGACATCTGTGAGAAAGAGCTTCATGGCTCGTCGGATTTCTCCACGATAAATGAAAAATTCTGAATCTGACCTCATTTGGCCTCTTCATCCACTTTCGATAAAACCTCTCTGAAATGGAAGGCCTTGGGCTCCAACTGCCTCCATCCTGCCTGACCTTGGCCTTCTTTGTGTCACCGTATGCCCCCCCTCCCTCTCGGCAAGTCATCAAGCAGCGTCTCTACTTCGCGGTTGTGCTGTACGCCCATCCGCAGGCACGGTAGTCGCCACCAACACGTGGGAAACCATCATCGTTCGTTTTCAGTCTCTTGGCCTCTTTGCCAACTTCCTCCTTTTCAGAACTTCCTTCGCACAGCTTTCACCTCTGGGCAAGTGCTCAATGCACATCTCTTGCCTGCGTGAGCTACGTACGTTTTATTATTATTTGGCTTTTCATTTCACTTACGTCAAAATTAAGAAGACTGAGCACCAGAAGTTTTTGTTTTTAGTTTTCTGTCATTTTTAAAAATAAATGTACACGCGACTGATGAATCGTTAATGTCTCGGGCACACGACTGAACGACGGGAAGGCCGACTCGGTCCGGTTAATAACGGCCAAGTTTTGAGATAAGTCAGCTGCAGCTAACACTGATGAAATAAAAATATATAAATAACCGCGACCGGCTTACGCAAGTTCACGTTAATACCGTGTCATCAGACCCAAACAAATCACTGAGAAATACACCACTCAGCCTTCTCGGCGGCCTTCGTAAAATAGGTTTACAACGGCATAGACCTAATTTCAACAAACACCACTGCAAGCAATTGAATTTTTTATCATAAAAATCAAATTGTGCACGAATTGTATTTTCAAATTTTCCGTGCCACTTTTCAACAACAACACGCACATATCCACATGTTTATGAGCTCTTGCCTGGTTTAAATAAAATATTTTTTTCCACCCATCTTACTCTCTCTGTCTCTCCCTCTCTCTCTGTTATCCACGTGTTTGTCTGCACGGCTGTCGGGATGTTTTGTCTTTCCCTGATTGTCTGTAACTCCAATCCCCCAGCCATCCGTGCTGTCGACTCCATGTCCCAGTTCAAGTCCAGACTCAAGATCTTCCTCTTCTCCTCTGTCTGCGACAACTGCCCCCCGCTCTCTCTCTCTCTGTACAAAATCAACGTGTGCACTGTTTCTGGAGGGGAATCTTCAGATGCGGTCGCATTTGGACCAGACGTAAAGAGAACTGTAACCACAAATTCAACAATAATGTTCACTGAAATAGCAATTACAATGAAAACAATTACAATGATAACAATTACAATGACATTGTAAATCCGAACTGTATCGTTATGTGTATCTGCCTGTCTACCGGCATGCTTGCTCGCTCGTCTGCCTGTCATCTGCCCGTAAGCCCATCTCTCTGTCTATCTATCTGGGACATAAATAAACATGAGCTTTGTTATCATCAAACACATCCCTTACCCTCCTCTTTGGGCAGCGGCTTTGTCTCTTTCACCGCATCGGCTTCTGTGGAAGCAAACAACGTACAGACCGATGAGAATCACCGCGGCGATGTCAATCTCATAGATCCCTTGGTCTCACGGCAGGGGGCATCTCATGGTAACCCTCTGGAATTGGGGGCTCACTTCACCTGCAGCACCGACGACCACCCCCAAGCACACCGCACCAACCCCCCTTTCCCTCCAGTGCCAATGCCATTTCACTGCAATGGCATTTACCAGGTAAGGTCAAGTGATCTAGAAAGTAATTTTTCAGAAGCGACCTGGCCACAAATGATAGGTCAACGAAGTGGCTTATCACGTGGAAATTTACAGTGCCCAACTACTCTAAACGCGTGATGTTTATTCTAAATGTGGAGGGAAACCCCGGAGGACCCGGAGGAAAATCCACGCGACCACTGGAAAAGAGACATGCAAACTCCATATATAGAGCAGGCATTAGGGTTGAGATCAAACCTCCTGTATACCAGGCGAGGTAGTTAACATCTCGCAACCGTGGTGCCACTGGTTAGTCACAAAAGCCTCCCCGAGTCTCAAGACGCTTTATAAAGAGGGTCCCCACTACGTTGGGATGTTTGATCAAGACAGATTTGAGCAGTGAGCCGGCAACACTGAGGTCTTGGGTTCGATCCAGGCAGCCACCTGTGCTTCCGTTCATCGACCCAAGCGGAGGAAGTCGATATGGACTCGACCCGCTCACCAATGACGGCACCATAAAATATGATCACGCTAAATCTGGTCCTGCAATCTCACCAGCGTTGAGAACTAAAGATATTGGTTTGACTGACAACGTGGATTTGGAAGTTCTGCCCACTATTGTGTGGAACAGAAGTCACATGAAGGGATCCCAGAGGTAGCTCTGTAATATCCGCTTCTGCGGGCCGTTCGCTGCTCTGCCGGAGACCTGAATGGATATTTTGGCTAATGACATAATGCTCGTAGCATTTTGTACAATTAAACTGGAAAGAAACATAAACACAAATTCATGGAAAAACACCAATGCACGTCTGTTTGCTTATGCTACATGACTAGATGGAAGGGTTGTTTGTCGCTGTATAAGCACTAACAAGCATTGAGCTATCTCAAATACCTACAGTGAAGGAAAAAAGTATTTGATCCCCTACTGACAAATAAATGATCAGTCTATAATTTTAATGATAGGTTTATTGGAACAGTGAGAGACAGAATAACAACAACAAAATCCAGAAAAACGCATGTCAAAAATGTTATAAAATTGATTAGCATTTTTAACGAGGGAAACAAGTATTTGACCCCTCTGCAAAACATGACTTAGTACTTGGTGGCAAAACCCTTGTTGGCAATCACAGAGGTCAGACGTTTCTTGTAGTTGGCCACCAGCTTTGCACACATCTCAGGAGGGATTTTGTCCCAGTCATCTTTGCAGATCTTCTCCAAGTCATTAAGGTTTCGAGGCTGACGTTTGGCAACTCGAACCTTCAGCTCCCTCCACAGATTTTCTATGGGATTAAGGTCTGGAGACTGGCTAGGCCACTCCAGGACCTTAATGTGCTTCTTCTTGAGCCACTCCTTTGCTGCCTTGGCCGTGTGTTTTGGGTCATTGTCATGCTGGAATACCCATCCACGACCCATTTTCAATTCCCTGGCTGAGGGAAGGAGGTTCTCACCCAAGATTTGACGGTACATGGCCCCGTCCATCGTCCCTTTGATGCGGTGAAGTTGTCCTGTTCTCTTAGCAGAAAAACACCCCCAAAGCATAATGTTTCCATCTCCATGTTTGACGGTGGGGATGGTGTTCTTGGGGTCATAGGCAGCATTCCTCCTCCTCCAAACACGGCGAGTTGAGTTGATGCCAAAGAGCTCCATTTTAGTCTCACCTGACCACAACACTTTCACCCAGTTGTCCTCTGAATCATTCAGATGTTCATTGGCAAACTTCAGACGGGCATGTATATGTGCTTTCTAGAGCAGGGGGACCTTGCGGGCGCTGCAGGATTTCAGTCCTTCACGGCGTAGTGTGTTACCATTTGTTTTCTTGGTGACTATGGTCCCAGCTGCCTTGAAATCATTGACAAGATCCTCCCGTGTAGTTCTGGGCTTATTCCTCACCGTTCTCATGATCATTGCAACTCCACGAGGTGAGATCTTGCATGGAGCCCCAGGCCGTGGGAGATTGACAGTTATTTTGTGTTCCTTCCATTTGCGAATAATCGCACCAACTGTTGTCACCTTCTCACCAAGCTGCTTGGCAATGGTCTTGTAGCCCATTCCAGCTTTGTGTAGGTCTACAATCTTGTCCCTGACATCCTTGCAGAGTTATTTGGTCTTGGCCATGGTGGAGAGTTTGGAATCTGATTGATTGCTTCTGAGGACAGGTTTCTTCTATACAGGTAACAAGCTGAGATTAGGAGCACTCCCTTTAAGAGTGTGTTCCTAATCTCAGCTCGTTACCTGTATAAAAGACACCTGGGAGCCAGAAATCTTTCTGATTGAGAGGGGGTCAAATATTTATTTCCCTCATTAAAATGCAAATCAATTTATAACATTTTTGACATGCGTTTTTCCGGATTTTTTATGTTGTTATTCTGTCTCTCACTGTTCAAATAAATCTACCATTAAAATTATAGGCTGATCATTTCTTTGTCAGTGGGCAAACGTACAAAATCAGCAGGGGAGGAAATACTTTTTTCCCTCACTGTATATCTATACACAGACAAAGATCCCCCGTATAGCCTTAACAGACTGTTGGGGCAAGTGCTGTTAGTGATCAGCAGCACCTGTGAAGGTCAGTACGGCACACGAGTTGGTGGGTGGCCAGCACCACACCTGCCCGCCGTTGTCTCCATAGCAGCAACTTTTACACACGCACCAGGTACTAATATGAGGCTCAGTCGATCTAGAGGAGGCCCAAAACCGGTTCAGATAATTGACACCGATGTAGGCCGTGACGCGACAAATAAAATCGGACCACCACATCCGTACACAAACACAAATATACACGCGAATAGCGTGGAGGGCACACGGACACAACGTCCAAGTTAGGACACCACGACAAGCAGCGTCAAAACGCAGAAGCACAGCAGCAGCAGCAGCAGCAACACAAGCTACATTAAATACGAGCAGCGTGAAAGCACCCGGATGAGATTGCCACTTGTTGTTTTAACGCCCGCACAACAGCGAGCGAGCACGGGAACGGACGAAGTTCGAGTTCGCACTCCAACCAAACGCGCGGTTAACGGCAGAAGCCGACGCTGCTCATCAGCAACGTCGGTGGCCGCCGCCGCACTGCGGATTTGTAACCTGCGGTGAACCAAAGCGCATCTGCGAGCGACTGCCAATCCTCCCGAGTGAGTGGCGTAATTATACCACTGTAATGCCGAATACGTATTGTAATGATCACAAGAATATTGCCATCTATTTACCCGTGATAGCCTCGTCGAGTCTCGAGTTTTTTTTCAAGAGGCTCCTGCATTGAGATATTGTATTTGGCCGATCCATTTTACGAGGGGTTGCTATACCTGTCGGAGAATAATGCGCAGACTAGCCCATGTCCCGTGTCCAGACGTGCCGCACTCCCGTTATTCTGGCCATCTCACGGCCCGGCGGGTTTTGGGATAAATCTCTTTGTGATCCACCGACCCTTACCTCCAAAGCACTGGATCACAGGGATATTCCTTCCAAGCTATATTTGAGAGTACACTTCACAATGCTTCGGTCCCGGAAGGTAATTTGGAAAGGTTAGCGGGTTAAGGGAACTCGTTATGAGGTTAATGAGGGGCAGGGTCATTTAACGTTGGAGCTTTAGGAAATCAAGCCTAGTGTCACCACCTACTTTTCGCCTTGGGTTTGGGTGCAGCTGCTGTCAACACTGACGACATTATCATCATCACCACAACATCATCACATCATCATCACACGGCGACAATTCACGACTTCGTGACAAACCACGTGCGTACGCGAGTCGTTATCAAATTACCAGAAGACCCTGAGACCTGCAATTTACAACCATCTCCACCACCTCTCAATAATTATCAATGGGACCCTTTTTTGCCAGTATCAAGATGAAAAAGAATCGGATTTACCCCTTTTTTCCGCCAATAATACTGGAGGTTTTAAGATGTTCATACACCATATAGACACACCTATTATTACAAGCCATGAAGTTTGCATCAACCACAAACAAATGTGCTTTGATAATGTATGCATTGTCTTTGACAACAGAGAAAGCCTCCTGCATGGCCTTGTCTCACCACCAGTGTCAGACCAGAGAACAACGCCAAAAGGCATTCTATGGTCTATCTTTAACTTTGATTTTATTCTATTGCCGCTTAAATATTCAAGAATCAAATTATTTCACGGTCTAATCTGTCCGTTATTGCGCTGCTAGCGTGCCGTGCTAGGACGAGAGAAGGAAATAAACTCGGCTGTGGGAATGTCCTGGAGGCAGAAGCTCACCTGGAGCAGCCTTGGCAGGACTCTCAGCTGCGGCAGTCACAGGCTCTGCAACGACAATGCGTTGGTAGTTCAGACATCACCGCTGATGTGAATCGTGGTCGGGAGTCGAACTCACACTGCTGGGTTCGAAGCGCATTAAGCTAACCATTGCACCACCGCTCCCCCTTTGCAATGACATTCATAGTGATCTTCTTTGGTTCTTTCGGTAAAGTCACGTAGAATGAGAATAAAATAATAAATTGATAAAATAAAATAACACATTAAAATTCTCACGACGTTTCGGCCACAACACAAGCGGCCTTCATCATAGTGATTGTTGATAATTTTCGCGACTCATGCTATTTGCTATGGGCCACTGTGGGCACTGTCTGTACAATGGGCCACTGTGGGCACTGTCTGTACAAGCTGCAGCGAGGAGTTGCGTGCAGGGACTCACTCTTTGCCCGATCTTCTTTTGGGGCGGCAGTCTTCTTAGAGCCTAGCGGCAGAGACGATGGGCGATTTACAACAACGACCGTTTCCATTCACACAATGGCGTCTAAGTGCAACCACATCACACCAGGACTCTTAACCAAACAAAATCACTACACTGGGATAGAAGCGGGGGGGGGGTGGAAGGGGGGGCAGAGACGGAGTGATGACATCGGCTGGAGCGCAGGAGCTGGATGGATCGTTGCATCGCAGCACCGTGAGCGATGGCCTATATCCAGCAGGGGATACATCACAGCTGCTGATGAGCGTACTATACAATACGCACACCACGTGTACTATTACACTGCATAACGAGTGCAAACATCCCCGTTGCATGTGTATATTTATTGGACATCTGTGAAAAAAGAGCTTTATAGCTCATCGGATTCCTCAAGCATGAATAAAGATCCTGACGTACGTTGATTTTCTTTCGCACCGTACCTAGCCAACCGTGCCAATCGGAGGTGCGTGTCAGCGCTCCCCAGAGCCACCCTCGCCTCCGTTGTGTCACCTGCACGCGAGACCTCGGCAACTGCGTGAGCGGCAGCGAACCGCGCAGCCGCGTGCAGTCGGCTTCAGACGGAGATCCGAGTCGGCAAGACATGAGCCTCCGCTGCAAAGCCGACAACCGCCCCCCGTGCGGCCCCGGTATCGCGGGAGCAAACCGGTCGCATTGCGTAGGCTCGGGACGCGTCGTGGCGCGGGCGCTCGCCACGACGGTCGTGGGCCTTCACCACGACGGTCGTGGGCCTTCGCCACGACCGTCGTGGGCCTTCGCCACGACCGTCGTGGGCCTTCGCCACGACGGTCGTGGGCCTTCGCCACGACCGTCGTGGGTCTTCGCCACGACGGTCGTGGGCCTTCGCCACGACAGGTCGTGGGCCTTCGCCACGACGGTCGTGGGCCTTCGCCACGACGGTCGTGGGCCTTCGCCACGACGGTCGTGGGCCTTCGCCACGACGGTCGTGGGCCTTCGCCACGACGGTCGTGGGCCTTCGCCACGACGGTCGTGGGCCTTCGCCACGACAGGTCGTGGGCCTTCGCCACGACGGTCGTCGGCCTTCGCCACGACCGTCGTGGGCCTTCGCCACGACGGTCGTGGGCCTTCGCCACGACGGTCGTGGGCCTTCGCCACGACGGTCGTGGGCCAAGAGACCGTCGGCTCGACATCACCGTCTCGGCTCTCCCGGACTCCGGCAGCAGGTGTCCTCGCTCCAAGGACTTCATTCAAATCTCAAACTGGTCACGTCGTCCGTCTGCCTCTCCGTATCCAAAATAAAGCGAGCGTGAGGGGAGGGGGAGCGAGGTGGATCGCCGCCAGTATTCTGCAGGACCGTTTAAATAGTTTCCACGGGGATATTTTTTTTAAAATACTCCCGACAACCTGCCACCCCAAAAGCCTTGCAGCAGAGGCGGCCGCAGCTGTAATTTTGGAAGGCAGGTTACTAATGGGGCACACGAGCATGAGCGTGCGTGTGCACATGTCAGGGTCTTAACCGTGTCCCCGCCGCAGAAGCTGATGTAAGAAATCCAAGTGTTGGCGCGCGTATATTCCGATTACGGCCTAAGCTAAAGCACTCTCTTAGCAGTTGCGTAATGAAGAGACTTTTAAAAGCAAACAGCGATTCGCTCCTCGCAATTTGTCTCTTTCCGTTGACGTTTCTATCTCTCTCCGTCTCCCCTTCTTCTCATTCCTGCCGTAGACCGCACTCGGCTCCTTCTGAAGATCGTTTCATCTCGACCGAGCGCAGCGATCCATTTGTAGCCTGGTTTCTGTTTTTTTCTTTTGTTTTTCTCTGTTGAACACATAAATAAATAATAATAGCGAACAAATTCCATTTCGGATGGCAGCTGGGAGCGAGCGCGATCCCGACGTTGCCCAGAGGTCACGGCATAATCTACACGTTCGTGATCACGCCACACATAACCCGCAGTTGGGGGGGAGTTCGGGGGGCGGGGTGGGGGGCTCCAGATGGAGCGGCTGATCTCTCTCGGCGCTGCCCATCGTCGCCTTTTTCACTCCAAATCCGCACGTGGCCAAGGGGGTGGGGGGCGCGGGGACTGATTTTGGGAACGGCATCGAAGCGTCAAAGGTTTCCCCGCAGAGTCAATCACGCGGCCACCAGCTCCGTCTGATGAAGGTCACATCGTGCGCCGTGTCTGCGCCGACACGATCGCTCGCGATGCCAGCGGCGAGGGTGCTGGCGAGTGCCCACGTGCGTGCGCGCGCGAGGCTACTATCGCTTCTCTCCAAGCACCTTCTTGAGTGCCGCTGTGATGGAGTGGCGGCGCAGTGGTTAGCGCACTGCCCTACGGACTTTCGATTCCTCGCCACGGCTAACGTACGTGATGAATAGCCGTGCCGTTCCTGGGACGCCCCGAGGTCGACTCGGCCTTGACCGCCCGGCGCGGTGCGTGCGAAACAAAGGCGGCTAGGCAAGGTGCCAGCCGCACCACCCCCTCGTGCGCCACGCCAGCCTTCATGGCCACTCGCTGACAGCACTTGCCCCAACGGCCTCTGTGGGCTACACAGGGGGATCTTTGTCTGTGTGGGCGCGTGAGGTTGCTATCGGCACTCGCCAAGCGGCCCCCTGAGCGGAGCGGTGCAGATAGCGCCCTCGGACGGCCCCCGCAATGCAGGAGAAGCGTCTCTCGCCAGAAGCTGGCACCTTTTTTTTCTCATGTGAGCGCAAGCGATCGGGCACACCAGCGGGCACCTATATTTAGCCCGCCACCGCTAACATTTTCCAGACTGTCCTAGGAGAAAGGCGCGCTGGTAATAAGTTATAACGCTGCCTCGATTTGCGTTAATCTTCCAGGGAGCGTCACCACTCCGCTTCTCGAGCCGTGAACGAAAAATTATGTTTATTATTTCAGAAAATCTGGATTTACGTTCCACGTACTGTCAAGTGAAAAATCAAAGTGAAAACATTTAAATGTCTGCCGGATCACGCTACAGCCTTCTCTCTGAACCCCGGACGACCAGACAACGTGGGAGAGATGTGATATAAGAACGCAGCAAGAAATATTATCGTTTGACGAGCATTCGACGCGACTTGCGCAATTGCTTTGTGGCCACTGTCAGCGCGGTTCGTATTAAAAACAAGAAAATCCGTAGCCAGCGGCGTCGTTTAATGAGCGGCTTCCGAGTCGGGAGGCTCGGTGCCTGCGACGGCGCTGTGGGTTTCGCGATGCCGGGGTTCGTGCGAGCGACATCTCTCACGCAATGTGACGCAGGGGACCATTTACGCTTGGACAAAATCGCCCAAAGGCTGGAGCTTGGCTGTCAGGCACGAAAAATGCAAGAAATGAAAGCACGCACAGAGCTTACACGCGGGGCTCGGCGACACACGTGCAGCGACGCACACGCGGCTCCGGTGAAACCTTACACACCCATTAAGGTTGGTGTGACCATCACTATACATGTTAGAGAACGGCCCGGGGAAGTTGATATGACATAACTACTTCTGAGTGGAACATCACACCTTCCCACGCTTTCTCACGTGAGTCAACCCGATATTTTTAATTCTCAAGAGCTGGTGTTTCGCCAAGATTAAAATGCAGTAACAAATTTAACGTGATGGCGTTTTGTGTGCGACCACTGGTGACCGGCCTGAGTCCACCATCTCGCTACACTTGAGAACCCGGTTTCATCGCAGACGCCTGCCCGGATTCGAACCCAGGATCTCAGCAGTGCTGGCTCAGCGCATCGACCTGCGAGCAGCCCGCCCACCCTTCTACACCTGGAGCAGATATTTCCTGGACGTTGTCATTTAAGGAGGGATGCTGGCGTGGCGTAGTGATGAGTGCACTGGACTTGCAATCCAGAGGTCACAGGTTCAAACACCTTTTCTGGCACGGCAGATGAACGGGGTACTTTTCTTAAAGCCCCACAGCCTCTGTCCACCCAGCAGTATAAGTGGATACTCCACATCGAGCCGATCGGCAGGCCGCACCAGGTGGAGTAAAGTGTGGGTACTTCCACCTCTTCCGAGATTTGTTGCCAGCGTGTGAGATAATGCCAAGTATCCTCTCGCGGGGCTCTCTAGAGGGCCCTCTAGCGGAGCCCCTTCTGCCAGCAGTGGCGCTAGAGCAAGGCATTGCAGGGCTGCGCCCCTACCTCGGCAATGAAAGAGATGAAGGTCGAGGATGAGACAAACAGCTTCACATGTTTTATGTACCTGGCCGCAGGTGCTCGTTGTTTCAGGACGGGCTCTCACTTTTGGTTATAATTAGTTTCCAAAACCCGTGAGCGTGTGGCGGTGGAGTGGACCCGCGCGCGGCATCAATACCTTGAGCTATGTCCTTGGCCGGTGGCGGTGTAGCCTTGGCAGGGGAGCTGGGGTTGTGAGCTGCAAGAAAGACGGGACTCATTGTCACTCGGCGAGAACTCACCAGGACAATCGGCGTCGCCAGCATCGTCGCCGCTAACCCCGTGAAAAAGGAGAGCGCAGTCGTTGGTCCGTATCGATGTGTCGAGCGGCATCGTTAGCAGTGTCCTCTCTCTCAAAACCGTCAAAAGCGCTGCATTTCAGTAGCATCGTCCTCAAGGCCACCACCACCACCATCCCCTGCGACACCATTGAGCATGCCTGGCAGACAGTTAGCATTTCCCTATTTTGAGAAAATGCACGGCAAGGATTAGGCATGCAGCCAAAACCACGAAATCCCAGCTTATACCTGGAGACATGTGCTGGTGTGCAAACGCGTCAAGCACATAGCGACAGAACTCGTACTGATCTACGGGGAAAGAGAACGACAGCAGATCAGCACGGCAGTGGCAGGGGACGTGGTGACGGGGGTAGGGGGTGGCATGGGGGCACGCGCGCGTGCACACGTGACCCTGGCTGAACCTGCGAACCCAGGGCCCACGGTGCGAGTCACGCAACGCAGGTGCAGTGGTGGCCGTTGGGTAAATATAATGGGGTGGCGTGGTGGGAGGGCACGGAGGTCCGAGTGGGGGTGGTGGGAGGGTGAAGGGAACACGAGGGAGTTGGATGGTGGGGGGTTGTTGGGCTGGGGCAGTGCGTCAAATCACCCTCCCCTCCCCCCTCTTGATATATATATACAACTTTTATATTTTATTGATATTTACCAGGCACAATAAGCGGACTTTTTTTTACTCATATAGGGGCAATATTTATGCTCGAAAGGTTTAACATTTTTGGAGGGCCCTCCCCCTTGATGAGTGTCTAGAATCCGCCTCTGGGGAGAGAAACTTATTTAAGTACAAGACAGCAACTTACTAGCCAAGGCCCAGCAAGGCTCGTACCGGGCAAGGGGGGCCCAAGTTCGTGAGCCTCTTTAATTGGCCAGAAGTGAACAAATGCAGCGATCGCGGCCCCGTTCTGCTTCTACGACTGCAGAACATCGAGCGGTCGCGTCGCAGCAGCGGGGAAAGACCGGCCCTACAGCGGCAGGAAACCTACAGCGGCAGGAAACCTACAGCGCAATCCCTCGCACTTTAATGACAGGGGCCGAGTTCACCAGTTACGAGCAGCAGCTGCCCTTTGCGAAATAAAATGACCACAACCGTAATCGGCCAATAAGTCGAATTAATCGAAGTGTGGGAAGGAAACCCTCATACACAAGTGCAGCCAGAGCTGTCCAGGGCCTGAGTTACAGAAAATATTTGTTCCCTCATAGCCCCCGTAACCACCTCACGACCAGTCATTTTGTCAATCCACTGCTGGATGAAAGCCCCTCCCCACGTTGTTGTCAGTAGTCATGTGAAGGGGGCTGCTCAGTGCAGGTCGGTGAAGGGCGGTGGGACAGGACCGATTTAGATGTCACGAGCACGACGCGTCACTCATGTTAGCCGTGCCCGGGTATCGCGTCCAGTTCACCATGTAAACCACTGCATTACCAAATAGCCTAACCCAGCCATACATATTGCAGTATTATTATTATTTTGATAACTCTAAATATGTTACGCTAGAGAGATCATGATGCCCGCTGGGGTATCAACGACATCCTTATTTTCTCGTCTACCTTTGCTCTCCGTCTTCTCGGCCGCTCGCTCTCTCTTCTTCTCCCCTTCGGCCGTCCCCCTCAGCGGCTTCGCCGCCGCTTTCACCGCCTTGGGCTCCTTCGGCTCTTTGTGCTTCTCGTTGTCTTCCTCCTTGTGTCTCTCACTGTGTTCTGCTTTGCGTTCCTCTTTGTGTTCTTCTTTGGGTTCCTCTTTGTGTTCTCCTTTGGGTTTGTCGTTGTGTTCTTCTTTCAGTTTCTCATTGTGTCTCTCATTGTGTCTCTCACTGTGTCTCTCACTGTGTTTCTCTTTGTATTCCTCTTTGTGTCTCTCACTGTGTGTATCTTTGTGTTCCTCTTTGTGTTTCTCCTTGTGTTCCTCTTTGTGTTTCTCTTTGTGTTCTTCTTTATGTTTCTCGCCGTGTTCCTCATGGTGGTCCTGCTTTGACTTTTCCAACTTTACCGACTCCTCCGCTTTCTTTTCGAGCTTCTCCGCTTTCTCTGCCCTCTGCTCCTTTGCCTCTCTGTCGTCTCTGTCGCCCTTTTCTGCTCTCACTTCTCTGCCCCCTTTCTCAGCCTTTTGCTCCCTATGTTCATTATGTTCATTATCCTCCTTGTGCTCCTTGGCCTCCTTGTGTACCTTGACCTCCTTGGCCTCCTTGTGTACCTTGGCCTCCTTGGCCTCCTTGTGCTCCTTGTGTTCCTTGTGTTCCTTGTGCTCCTTGGCCTCCTTGTGCTCCTTAGCATCCTTATTTTGCTTCAGCTCCTTGTGCTCCTTGTGTTCCGTCAATTCGTTATGTACCTTGGCCTCCTTGTGCTCCTTGTGTTCCTTGTGCTCCTTGTGTTCCTTGGGTTCCTTGTGTTCCTTGTGCTCCTTGTGTTCCTTGGCCTCCTTGTGTTCCTTGTGCTCCTTGTGTTCCTTGGGTTCCTTGTGTTCCTTGGCCTCCTTGTGCTCCTTGTGTTCCTTGGCCTCCTTGTGCTCCTTGTGTTCCTTGGGTTCCTTGTGTTCCTTGGCCTCCTTGTGCTCCTTGTGTTCCTTGGCCTCCTTGTGTTCCTTGTGTTCCTTGGCCTCCTTGTGTTCCTTGTGCTCCTTGTGTCCCTTGGGTTCCTTGTGCTCCTTGTGCTCCTTGGCCTCCTTGTGTTCCGTCAATTCTTTATGTACCTTGGCCTCTTTATGCCCCTTTGTATCCTCATGTCCCTTTACCACGTTCCCCGTCTTTTCTGCTCCGACGACCTTTACAGGGCGGTCGGACTTCTCGGCTTTGTGTTCTTTCTGCTCCTTGCGTCCCTTGGACTCCTTGTGTACTTTGTCCTCGTTGTGGGCTTTCCCGTGCTCCTTCTCGTCCTTGTGTTTCCTGTCCGCCGCCTGCTGCACGTGTCCCTTTTGCACTTTCTCTTCCTTGTGATTGCCGTGCGCTTTGTCCTCCTTGTGTCCTTTATGCGCTTTCTCGTCCTTGCCGTCTTTATCATGCGCCCTGTCATCCTTATTCGCCTTCTGTCCTTTCTCTTCCTTGTGCTCCTTGTGCTCCTTGTGCGACTTCTCCGATTTCTCTGTCGTCCTTTTCTGCTGATGCGTCGACTTCACCTTCGGCGAACCTACGTAAACAATTTTTTAGGGTCACTTGAAAAATCTTGTTCATAACCTTTGGCAAACAACAACATTAGGCACAGAATTTAATTTGGTTTATTTTACAAAAATATTAAAAAAGAAAAAAATACACAAAATTAAGTACTTTGCCGCAGACATATATACGTGCTATTATGAAGGGTAAACTGTGCAAGGTTCGTCAGTGGTAGATGGTGGAATTGTTGGGGTCATTGGGGCTACACGGCACTAGTGGGGTCATTAGTGGGATCATTGGTGGGATCATTGGTGGGATCATTGGTGGGATCATTGGTTGGATCATTGGTTGGATCATTGGTGGGATCATTGGTGGGATCATTGGTGGGATCATTGGTGGGATCATTGGTGGGATCATTGGTGGGATCATTGGTGGGATCATTGGTGCTACACGGCCATGGGTTGCGCTACTGACGCCGAGTTCCTCTCAGCTGCCTCTTGTAACCGACCAGTGCTGCCAACTCTCTGCGATCTTGTCGTCACGCGATCTGGCAACTTTGTGGGTTTCCCGAGCGACGAAATTTAGTTGAAGCGACTGGCGACGAATCTATCCAGCTCAGGTGGTGGCAACCCCAGCTACCAGGGACTCCAGCTTATGATCACGCGTGGTGGCTACCACGGCTTGTGGTGGGGGAGGGGGGACACACATCTCCAAACATCTGGGAACCCCGAGCCGGCTGCGTCCACTCTCTCTCCTCTCTCTCTCTCTGACAACCCAATGTCACCTTCTCAGTTGAGCTACCCCAGGGGCGCTCGCTCGGCTATAGCTCTCCCCTGCGTCGCGAGTGCTTGTTTAAAACGGACGTGGCAGCGCGCCGACCAATGTTTCGAGCGCGACCGTCTTTGCATGCCGCTCGCGGTTCAAGCGCGGTTCAAGTGCGGTTTACCGTAGGCAACGACCTTCAAAGTGCGTGCGTCCATGTACGTCCATAAGCACGCGAGAACCCACCGGGGCATCATTATCGAGAGCTGGGACAATGTGGGATTATGTTTTGCTCCAAGGAAGATACAATCAAAGAAATGCGGTTTTATCTCTGAGGCTGTACAGAGGTTGTGCCCCAAAGCTGTCCCACACATGTTTTAAGCTTTGTTAATGAGATTAAAAGACTTTCAAATAACATTCAAGAGCATTATTAGTGAATTAATCAAGGAAAATGTGTAATCTTGTGAAGGCGGGAAACCCCCTACAAGCCACGCCCAACGAGACGAAGCCGATGATGCCTATGACGTCACCAAAATCCCGCCGACCACCTCCCGACCAGCGGCACACGTGGGAACGAGAGGCGAGCCTTTTTTTTGCCGCCAATCATTTTCGCGTCATCAAATTCATAACTGAACCGATAAATTGGTAACGTAATCGATTACGTCGATAATTGGATAGACCAGCTCTAATCATATTCCTCGTTGTGGTTGTTAAATCCGCTTGTTCCGAAGTGCAATTGATCAACGACGGTAACCCAGCAACAAGCCGCTTGGCTGAGGTTACCAAGGACATGTGCTTGAGGCGCTGATCAGCGCAGCCATTGCTCAGGATTCACCCAACGAGGCTTGCCACCCCATGCTGCTTTTTCCCAGCATCGTCCCTCTCTTTGATGTGGCCGTTCTGGGAAATCTACAAGTCTTCGCGCGCTTGTTAAGAGGCCTGCTTAGGTGTTCGTTGCATAATACGCTTACTCAATTAAACGCAATATCCGTACAGTTCTCCCTCTCTTTCGGAATCGTGAGGTATTCTTAGCATGTCCTGTTTTTTTTTTTGTAAGACAGAGGTGACAATCCTACAACCAACTGGAAGGACGCATCTATTATCGACGCAAACAACACCAACGCGCAAATCATTTGGTTTTCTGGCTGCAGAAAACAAACACCCTGTTTATAAATCTGCACTTGCTGAATAAGCAAGACGTATCTTTCACAGGTGAACACGGGCTTTGCTTTATGGCCCACTAAACCATGGAGACAGGCCAAGAGCAGGTTTTCACACAAGAGGCCTGAGAGGGAAAGGCCCTCATTTACAACTGCGTGAGGTATCCCTGTTTGACAGTTGTAGCCCTAGGGCCACTTGACGCTGCCGATATAAAGCACACGAGTGGCATTAATACGTACGGTCGTGGATTTGTTTACCCAGGATAGCGTCACTGAGTCTCCAGACTGTTATTTAAGAGTTTACTGCTTAGAATGCTTGTCCCGGCCGTACGCTCGAACAAAAACTGACTGAGAATAAATGTCTTCCTCTGAACAAGTGCTCTAAATGAAATCAATATTGCGGCTTATTTAGTTTTAAGCTTTAGATAAAAAAAAATTGGTGTATATACAGACACTAAAATTTGGGCAGCTGCACAAATTATGTTAACCTCAATATTTCGAAATCATCCGAATAAAATACGTGGGGGGCTGTCGCCTCGAAGGCAACTATAGATTTGTGGTGCAAGTCAACGATCTGTCACACACACACACACGACGTGTGTGCACCGCTGCCATCTCAGAATGGACAGTGCACGTACATCGGACGCCGTGGTAACTCACGAGAAAGTCTCCGCTGCCAAGAGACGTGAACACATTCATTTATATCTGAACCACAGTCCTTAAATTGGTTGACGCACTGTACGGCCAAGCAGGAATCAACTTCACGGCCATACTAATGATTACCCACATCTTTAGAGTGTCTCAGATGAACGTCTGAAAATCATGGAATTGCCCAACCATAAAATGAGCACTGCATTTTCAAGACCGGTCCAGTAGTTGAGCAGTGGCTTCAGATACAGCTGCGTATAAAGAAAGGCTGCCCCCGAATGCACTGTCGCCGGTAGATTGGGCCGTTCTAGAAAGCTCAGTGAACCTCGCTCTAAATACGCTGCACACTTTACACCGCAAAGCCCACGCCACATTCTACTCCAGATCCACCCACGACCCCCCCTCGCCCACGACCCCTTCCCCCTCGCCAACCATTCCACCACCCAAGTTGACACCCACCACCCTCGGGGTGACGAATTAATACGGGAAATGTGATAACCATAAGAGCACAGACACAAACACAAGACAACAAAAAAAACACAAGAATAGAAATCGATAGACTGTATAAAATGCCACGTCAATACCGAGCCCATTCACCTTGGGGCCTTTCAGCCACGTTAGCAGGCTTGCGGGCTGCCTGCTGAGAATGGCCCTTTGGCCTTTCCTTGGTCATTAATGCAAGTACTGAGGGGGGGGGCAGTGGGCGGAAGAGTTACAGGGGGGGTGCGGGGGGGTTGCAGGTGCACGGAACGGCGAGGAGTCATGCGCAAGGTGTGGTAGCGTGCTCCGCATCACAAACGCATGCACTCGCCCGCTATAAATACCCAGCTGCGCGCTCGCGCCCGGACAGCCCTCGGCGTGTTTACACGACGCACGGCCCAGCGATGCCGGGCAGCGCACGCCCCATGCACCGTCAAGGCGCCGGCAGCGCGTCGGGGCGCAGCGGCGACCCGCAGCGTGCAGCGGCCCCCGGCCTCCCTCTTCACTTACCGCACGAGAAGGCGGCGAATCGAAAGGTGCTCGCGGCCGGTCGTCGGCGTCGCGCCGCAAACGTACCGCGGCGTTCGTTCTGCCGCCCGCTCGCGGTCAGTCGGGGTGCGTGCGGGAGCCGTGAGCGGACACAGCAACAGCGGGCGTTAGACTTCTCGAGGCCGTGGCGACGATCAATGGATTCCCTGGGGATTGATTTCGGCTCGGGTGGAGATCAGCGGCCGCGTAATTGCCGACATGCAAAACTGCTCACCGCACACCCACGGAAGCCGCAGCCTTTAGCCGAGGAAATCAATGCCCCCCCCCCCTCTCGTTTGGGAATCCGTGCAACCTCGGTGCTGTGCGGCTGTCAAGACGCGCGCGGCACGACGTGTGTGCAGGCCGTGCACATACAGACCTTTACGCTTCGCGGGCATTCTCCTTCGATCTGGAAAATCGACACGGGACAGCGTTAGCGCCGCGGGTCGGAGTGCACCAATAACAGAAAACGCGTCGTCCCCACCGGTTGCTCCTAGGATCGTCTTGTGCCCATTGTGTGAAATGTTGAGCCCCTCTGGGCATTTCTTTCAAAAGCGAGTGACGTAAAGTATTTCGTCACTCGATCAACACCGTTGCCCGTTATTTATCCGGGAAAGCCTCAAAAACTCGCCACACTCGAGAACCCAGATTCAAACCCAGGGGTCTCAGTGGGGCGGCTCAGTGACGAGCTCCGAGCCAGCCGGCCACCTCTGATGATGAGTTTTATCTATTTATCCAGGAAAGCCTCGCCGAGTCTGAAGACTTTTTTTTTTATCGCGTCACCCATCGTGACGCTCGGCCAATCCCATTACTGTGCATTTTGGTACACGGGAGGGAAGCACTCAAAAGCTCGACACGCTCAGATTTAACAATCCGTGGCTGTATTTACATTTCCTGGCCACATCATCATCATAATAATAATAATTACTTTAGTTATTAAATATCGTGCTGATGCATGCAGGCATGTCTCACGTTCCCAAAGGGTGTAATGTGCCTCGGCAGCCCTCCGCCCTCGCTGCACGACTCTACGAACGCTACGACACTCCACGCTGTGTTTTTAGGGATTAGCGCCTCAGCCCCGACGATCGGCCACATGCAAACAACTCGCGGATCACAGAGCAGATCGGACATCGGCGCCTTTCTTCGGAAGTGGACATTTCCTCCGACGCTTTGCCGTGCTCATTGCAAGCAGCACGTGTCCAACACCCTGCATGTTGGTGGGGTTAGTAACGGCCGTTCTGCGGGTCATGTTAAGAGCAGCGGCATTCTGGGACGAGGACGACAATCTGGTAAGTTGTTATTGAGGATGGTGCATTCGTCGTCCCCACGTAACACATGGCAAACACGTTTTGTGACGGAATTGATGACTTGAAAAGGGTCTATCGAGCAGATCTTGAGGTTCCTTTGGCCACATTACACCTTCATGAATTGGTAACGCTGGAGTTTGCGTCTGTTTATGTTAAAATTAAGTCCAGACGACACGCACAAGATGCCGTCCAGCCCACGTCTTTACCGGTGCGAAGATGTAGTCCATCCCAAGGCCTGGGCCAATGTTGTTGTTAATTGGCATGCGGTTGTGTGCACGTTACTCACAGGACACCATTAAGGCAAGACCCAGAAGCAGCTGGATGCAAAGCGAGGTGCTGGGGCCACGTTTATTGAGGTTAGTGCGGCGTGAGCCAGACAACTCAGCTGACACCCTGCACAAGGCTTCACACACGCGCAACAACACACCCTGCAAATCACATTACTGCAGTTTGCACAGCAACGCCCGAGCTGAGCAATCAAGGTATGATCTTATCAATAATTATTTGAGAATACTGTCAAGTCAGGTTCCTTTTATCCGCGTTCATGTGGGGGGGATGCTATCCCCAGATTCGATTATCCGCAGTGTACGGTCAATCAACATCCCCATGATCAATACGGTTTGGAGAAGCCTTTTCTGGCATTGGACAGACCTAGGGCTGAACACAAATCCAGGGAAAGAACTCCTCTTATCCGTGTGGTCACCTGGAGACAATCACACAAATATTCCTTGGGAGTCCTCTTATCTGTGAAAAAATAAGTTCACTAACATTTTGGCCAGATTTATTAGGGGCTATGGACCATATCAGTTGCAGAAAAGAGACACGTGGATAACAGGAGTTCCCAGTGTTGAAGACAACCATAGGTAAAAATACATCTGTTATATTCTTGGTTCTTTCGGTAAAGAACCAAGAATATGAATCCCTGCAGTCACGAAAGCTTTAAATCAAAAATACATCGGTTGTTATTTTTTCACTTATTTGAAATCACGCCGGTTCAGTTAACTCTAGATTATCCAGAGTAATGTGTGGAGGGGTGACCCGGATAAAACAATAAGAAGGATAACGCTACTTCGATTATAAACAAATCCATTTATAATTTCCATCCTTAGAATGACTTGAAGACACGTAATGTGTCGTCTGTTTTTTTATTGTTTTTTTTTTAAATAACCAACTTTCTCTCCGCTACGTTTGCGGTCACGTGGGGAAACGAGTCACCGACCCCCAACGAGTGAGGAGCAGCCGATGATTTGAACCGGCGTGCACATTCACGCGTGCTTATTTCACCCCGGAAAATCCGCCCACGGATAATGGAGAGTTAACTGCATCGAGGACTGCGTAGAAAATTGAAAAGTCGAGAAAGAAAATTTAAATTTCGACGAAAGGTCAAATGAGAGGAGGGACGTTGATGTCGTCACCCATGCCTGAAAATCTAAACGCTCCCTGAGGTCATGTGGGTTCCCGGCCCGACGGACGGGTACGGCAAGGTGCGGTATGGCTAAGGTTTGGCCACCAGGGTGTCTGGCAACAGGCCTCATTGTGGCCAGAGATCAGCCGCGACCCCCACCCCACCGCTCTCGGCCACAGAAAAAGCACATGAGAGATGCGTGGCTATAGAATTGCTTCTTGTCGTGTTTAGTTTGTTGTCCTTCCCCCGTACCTCCGATTAGCACGGGTGGCTACGTACGGTGCGAAATAAGTTCAACATACATACAAACGCATTCAGGACAGTGTGATAAGTAGGGCTTTCACGATAACTCATTTCATGATACGATATGATTTTTCATGATATGATGATTATCGTGATATCAGTTTCCCATAAGCTTTGTCATTTAGTTTTCTCTTTTTATTGTATTGTACTACTGTGAATTGGGTTACCGAGTTACGCCTTCTGTTTGATAAACATAACTTATGTTCCAGTTGTACAGAAATGTTAACGTATGCTTTAATTTTAATCAAGGTTTATTCAGGGTAATGATATACATTACTCACGTCATTACTATTGTCATTAATATTAACGTCAATAGTTTTTCTATTTTAATAATTGACGGTTCACCTCTTTTTCCTTTAACTTTCATAGTCGGCGTGAGACCGCTCCCAACCGCGCACGAATTCTCTCCCAGCTCCACGAGGTTTCTTCGTCATAACTCCCTCAACGGAATTGACTCGTCTTAGCGAATGCAATTTATAGAATTGCGTAAACCGTTCAGAACCATGGCCCTCGGTCACAACGCCTCCCTCAAAAACGTCGGTACAACGACGTGCAAAAGCGTAACGCCCCGCACACAGCACGCTACATGGCTTGTAACTGCACTGAGCGCTCACTATTTCGCTGTTATTTCTGGCATGTGATTTTTTTTTGAAACCCCCTAAAACATAACCTGCCGATAATTATCGCTACCCATTGCACCTCGGGAGAGCATTAGTTACGGGTTATGGAAACAGAAACTCGACAACTGAAATGCAACAAACATGCATCATGCGTGTGAGAAAGCAACAGTGGAATTATTTTCGCTGGTGATCGACCGTGTATCCTAATGACCTTACGACCTTTCAATTACAAAAGTGCGTATTTTCTTAACCCTTGGTTATTAAGGAGCTCGAACCTAGACTCTAACCACAACGCTCGTCCATCTCTGGCAGATCACCAACAAGATCACCACAATCATCAAGAGGTAAATTAACAGCGATGTCTTTACGTCAAACACAAACCTTGTTCAATCCCTCCTGTAAGTGTAATTAATTTGTGAACACGGCAAGAATGATCTATGGCTCAGAACCGCGCGCGTGCGAATCGGTTGTGCGATGCCCATCGTGGCATTTTACCGGCGGTGTAACGATGGACTCAAACCCAGATTCCAGGGTCATAGTTCAAGAGTTAAGGGTCATTGTGTCACAATGTGCTGAATGTAGCAATGCCACTGGCGTCTGTAGGGGTTATCAGATATAACAGACAAATAATAAACGCATCAAACGCAGCGCACGTTTGAAGCTATCATCACCGGCTCACGCTGTGCGGTAGTGTGACTGGTGCATCGTGAACGTGGCGTTCGGAAAACTAAAACATTTCACGCGTTCAAATTTAAACGCAATCAGATGAGAGGTTTGTTTAGGGGCTTATTCCAAGATATAAAGATGCACATTTTGTGAATGATAACACATTTTTGCGTAATGATAAAATCCACAAATCGGTTTCACGATGTCCTCGTTCGTTTATGTTATTTATCTGGATTGTGCACAATGCAAGGATAGAAATGAGGCTGCTGGGAAAATTTCGCGAGGCAGAAAAGGAAGCCCACTGTTGGACGATTTGAAGGTGGGCCCGTGCTTTCAAAATAAAGTGGACAACCCAAGGCCGGGGTGACGACATGAGCAGCGGTGAACCAGCGGCCGACGACTTCACGTCACACGGTGAGCGACCACGCGAGCCCTCGCGAATCAACACGGCCCGCAAACGGTATTCATCCCTCACTGCCAGCATCTTGCTAATCGGGTACTGGAGGGCAATATTTTCGACAACCTGGCAACAACACCACGTTTATAATTTTAGCTCGCTCGTTGACTACGTCAGTACGAGGCCCTCTCTTGGACAGCGCGAAGCAGCGTGTTAACGTGCGGCTGCCCGCCAAAAGGTACGCGAAAGTCCTATACGGCCGTCGGCAAGAAAAGGGTTCCGCGGCCGTGATGTAAACGTCGGGCATCGCGTTAACCGCTGGCGCCACACCCCGTAGAAGAAGGCTCGCCGGCGCGTGATACTCGTTGGACTTTTTCCCAGAGCGAGACCGCCGCCGGACAACGACGAGACGCGGTCGGGCACCACCGGGGCTGGTGCCGAGTCCGGGTGGTGGGGGGCGCGGGGGCGGTGCCGTCGCCGGGGTCTGTGCCGAGTTCGGCGAGCGGGGGGGTGAAGGGCGGGCGGCTCGGCACGCTGGCGCGTCACTTCTGGAGCAGGCCGGCCAGCACGTGTGTGCGGGACGCGGCCGTCCGGGGGGTACCTGCCGTGCCGTCTGCTGCCGTCTCACCGTCAGAGCCGCCGCCGCCGTATACGTCGTCGTCGTCGTCGTCATCGTCGTCATCGTCGTCGTCGGGAGCGATGAGGTCGTAGACGATGCCCCACACGTGGTTGAGGCTCTCGGTGCCGCGCCCGGCCACCCTCCCCACAGCACCCAGCGGATCGTAGAACACCCCGCCTGGCACCCGCGTACACACACGCGCACACACACGCATGCACACACACGCATGCACACGCACGCACGCACACACGCACGCACGCACACGCACTCACGCACGCAAACACGCACACACAAACACACAAAGATAACCGTCCTCCGTGTAGCCTGCGTAGACTGTTGGGGGAAATTGATGTTCAAAAATACATCGGAGTGAAGTCCTGCTCAAATTGGCATAGACACTGTGCTCACATGCCCTGCTCATAGAGGCTGAGCCAGCGGTGGATATGCCCCATTCCTATGGTGGGAGTGAGTCTCTCCACGGGGCGACCACTGTTGACTTGCTCACAAAGTGGTGCCAATTTTGTCGCCCCCAGAGGGGCGATGCGCCGTGTTCACCTACGACCAGGATGTGAACGCGCAACTGGCCTACATAGAAGACAGCTGTTGTTGGGGAAGTTTCTGTTAGGCCGGCAAGACGCACGAGGGCAGCGGTGCGGCCAGCGCCACGCCCGGTCGCCTTCCTGACGGCCTGCCCGGTGCGCTGCCCTCCGCCGCCTACGCTGCTCACTATTTTCCCAGGCTCAGCGCCTGCTGAGCTTGCGAGATGTGACGAGACTGAGAGTACTTCGGGTGGCTTGGCCACCCACAATCCTCCAATATTGGCATGAAGTGTTTGAGACAACGTAACGAGCGAGTGCGTGCACAGCACTGGTGTTCTGCACGCACGGCTATTCGTGTTTTGACGAATTTTGCTGAATATGATTTTGTTAGATTAACATTTGCTGAACGTTGCTTTTACCAAAAAACGACTTTACATCTTCTATATCGAAATCGCCATCCCCGTCCGCATCAAACTCCACCATGGAACCTGCGATCCCGCACACACGAACACACACACGCACCATCACACACACGAGCACACACACACAGTGTAAACTAGCGGCAGTAGAGCTATTCCATGTCAAACCGTTACTCTTAGAGTCAACGACGATTTGCGACGTTTGATTGACCAATACCAAACAACCCAATGCATGTGTTTGTGGGGGAGCGGTTCTCCCCAACGTTTCACGAAGCTTTGACCAAATTAAGGTTACCGTTAACTCTCCCCCCCCCCCCCTCTCACACAAGACCCCAGATAATCGGAGGGTTGACATATTCTGCCGGAAAACAATCAGGCGGACGCAGGTTTCCATCAACACGTGCATCGGGCCCTGAATGCTCATGGCAAATCCTCTCGAACTTGCCACTCACCCACAGGTTAAACCGGCACAATTCACAGACAGCCAGGCATGCAGTGGCGTTAATGTCGAGGCACAGTGCGCGTGGCTTCAAAATGCCCTCGGACGGAGCACACTGTCCCCTCTCATGCTGGATCACCACCATCACCGTCACCACCATTATCGCCAGGCATGATCCGCGAACTCCTGGATCAATGCCTCCCAGCCCGTCGGACACCTCTCACGGCCCCGCGATGCACCAGCGCTTGAGAATATTTTAATCGCTCCATCTCCGTAACGGTGGTGGTGGTGAGTGTCCTCTCAGACAATCCATGTCGCTATCTTCTCGCGCACATTCTCGACTGCACGTCTTCCCTCCTCCCCCTCCTCCCCCCGTCTCTCCAGTGCAGTTCTAAGCGTGCAGCTCTCCACTCTTTGCGCGCTTCTCTGATATCGTTCCACGGTGCGTTTTGTCAATGTCCATGCGTCTGATGCGTACGTCACAGGAGGTGGTAGCCAATCAGTTCAGCTTAACATGCTCTGGCGTGTATTCAAGTTCTGTTCCTGCAACCGCGATCTTTAATTGCTCAGCGAACTCGGAACGCGTGGAATGTAAAGTCGATTTCGCTCGTGTTTACCTTGAACCCCACGTTGCAACATTTTTTTTTAAATAACAGGATAATGGTGGAATAATCATAATAAATTGAGTATAAAATAAAATACAACGTATTGCTAATACACCGGACTGTAAAGAAAATAAACCAAATCAACGGCACTTAGAGCAATAAATCGATAAACACGAGTCACCTCGTACCGCACAGGGACAGCTGCCAATTGGGGTGCCCTTTAGAATGTTTCGAGCTGCGATGCGATGCAGGTCGCTTATCGCGCACAAAGCGGTCTGAGACACCCCTGACGTATAGGGCGCGCGTTTAAAAACAAATCACGCATCCCCAATATTGAATGAGCTGCTCGCGGGCAGTGAAGAACCACGCGCCTGCGCCTTGACCGGGGGACGGGGGTGGAGGGGGAGGTGCGTGGGGGGGTCAAACGACTCGGTGAAGACGGCACGGCACGCGTGTCTGAGCTCATTACCGGGCGGCCGGCAGGGCTGACTGCAGGTGGGTTCTGCGTGAACGGGGAAATTGAAGGGAACAGAGGGGGCAGTGGGGGTTGGTCGGGGAGGATGTGTGTGGGGGAAGGGGGGCAGAGGGCACGGAGGAGGAAAGGGCGGAGCAGCCGGCCACTCAAACGGGGCAGCGCAAAGCGTCGTGGTGGCCAGGGCACGGTGGGGGCGGAGACAGTGCGGAACATGCGAGACAAAGAGAACAACATGAGGCAATGAGATGGAACGTCCGACGCGCGCGCTCGCTCGCTCGCTCACACGCACACATGCCGCACGGCAGATGCGCCGCATCCGGAAGCTCAAGGCAAGGCGGTGGCGGGGAACGTGCGTGGCGGTGGGAGCGAGGCGAGCGAGCGGATGAGCCAGGTGTGGGGTCCACCAAGACGGTGGCGACCAGGTACACCGGAGATGCCGACGAGCCACCGGCGCACGGTGGCAGCGCAAGGCCGGCACGCCGAGACGCGCCGATCACCCGCGCGTACGAGCGACAATCCGGGCACGCGCCGGTTCACTTGGGTCACTCGCACACCGGCGGGCAGTCGCCTCCTCGTCACTCTTCTACAGCTACTACCGTGTTGACGACTCGGTCCACCAGACTGGCCGTTTCGTCTCATCCGCACCGGGTGTTCAACCACGACCCCGCAGGTCACAACAACACACTCGCCTACCCACTCACCCACCCACCAACTCAACACACCGCAGGTCACAACGCTTCCCTTCCTGTTCTTTCCCTCTCACTGCCCCACTTCAGAATTCCCCTCCTTCCATCGTTCACCGTCCCGGCTTCTCGCGACAATAACCTCGCTCAATTTCAAGGAACGTGCTCAGGCTCGTTATCGACTGCACCTTCAAAAGCGCCGCTCGTTGCCCGGCCGCTTGCCGTTCCGCGCCTGTGGATCCCGCGCTCAGTAACCGCGACGGGAGGCTCGCATCGCGCTACGGCACTACGGGGGGGGGCGCGATCACAGCTCGCCGTCAGCTCGAAGACACGCGGGGAACACGGCACTTGACTCGGGGGTGGTGGGGCGATGGAAACGCTGCAATTGAGGACGCCGTGGCGCTGTTCGAGTTGGCCACGCTTGTGCGAAGTTGCCAATTTTGAAAAGAAAATAACAAAAATATTCGCGACTTACACAATTAATTAAAGGGGACAAAAGTCACAGAGCGACGTCCTGGAACTCACACCTCCGCCTGCCAAACACCGGCACCTTCACGATCGCCTCCTTCGTGAGTCCGATTCCGATACATTTTTATTTTGTTCGGGTCCCAACATCTCCCCGCCCCCCCCTGGAAGCGAAGCGGCGTGGCCTCGGTGCACCGCACGGAGCTCGATGGAGCGGAGGGCGCGTAACACGAGAGACCCTTCCCCCCAACGTGACACAAATAGGGCAGCGGAGTGCCGTCTTAAACTGACACCGCTCAGGCCGGCTGGAATTTGAAACTCAACTTTTCGCCCGGCGTGTGTGTGTTTGTGTGTATATATATATAGCCGGCTTAGCATCGAGGACCTAACGGGTTCGCCGCTCGCCGCCCTTTTCCCCCCTCGGGATCGTCGGCCGTGCGCGGGAGCCGACGGGTCCGGCCCGGTACGGCTCGCGTCCACGGCCCCCGCCGTGGCTGCCCTGCCGCCCTTCGGGACGACCGTGGCCGCGGAGTGATGGCCGGGGTCGGAGCCGCCTCCCCACGACGCCCATGGGCTGGGCGTGAAACACAATGAAGCAGCCTTGCTTGAGACGGTTGGCCCCGCTGGGCGTTTTTTGTCTTACTGCCCGTCTGCCTGTCTGTTCTACACTGCCCGTCTGCCTGTCTGTTCTACACTGCCCGTCTGCCTCTCTGTCTAATCGCCTCTCCGTCCTCCCCCCTCCTCTGCCTCTTAGGCCGTTTCGCCCGTGTGCAAGTTCGTCCGTCCGTCCGTCGGTCTTTTCTGCGTTTTCGTCGGACCCAACAGCGGCGCTTCCGGCGACAACCGCGCAGCGGCAAAAAGCGCGGTGACTCACGGCCGCCCGACGACGAACGCCGATTGCAGCGTGCGACCGCCGAGAACGATTTACAACCTGGAACAAAGTGTTCACTGCCTTCACGAGCCTAGCAACTCCGCAACACAGACACCAACTTCAAGTTAAACAGCTCAAGGGCACGGCGTGCCGACACGGCACGGACGCGTCGCCCGTGCGGTTTGACTCGTGCGCCTTAAATTCCCGCTTGAGCCGGGGACATTAAAAAACGCGAAGTTGTTGCAGAAGCGCCGCAGTGTACTTTCTGATGATCCTGCAGAACGAAAATACCCGGCACCGAAATACACCGATGATGAAGCGATAAGAGAGATGCGGTAATCTAAAGGTTAGGCGTAGGATGCAAGCCAGCCAATTACACTAAGACCGCCCCGCTTATGTGCAGAGAAAAGTCCGCCGCTATTTTAACCCCCGTTAGGAGCCTCCGTATCGCGCTGGTTAAAAATGTTGCCAAACGACGCGACGGTGAAAGCAGCGGACAGCGGAATGGGATTGTCCCATTCCACTGTCTCCCCCCGACACAAGGCTGCTAATTGGGGTTCAACAAGGACCCTGTCTCTGTCCCGCGCCAACGCGAGGGGGTAAAGACGGCAGAGTCAACGGGTGGCCAGACGTGCAGTGAACCTTGCAGGTCAGCGCTGGAAAGGGCAGTGCTTCCATCCACAGGGGGGTCCACCAACGCCATCGTTAGAGGGTGGCACATCACACGTTTGGACCGTTTTGCACGTTTTATCCACTGAAGTTGGCTCCCGTGGGGGAGGGGTAGAATTGTTTTTGTATTCTCATTTCAATTTCGCCAAGGAAATCATTATAAAGCGCCCTGCGCACCCAATCTGAAGTTCTGAAGCGAAGCGATTAGAGACGACTTCACAGGCACACCCATGCAAGAGACAGAGATAGGTACATCTGTAGGTAGGCAGGTGGGTGGGTAGCTGTGTAGGTAAGTAGGTAGGTGAATAGGTGCAAAGCTGGGTGGGTCTGTGTGGGTAGATAAACAGGATAGCAGGAAGATAGGTGGGTAGGTTAGTTGGTTTGTAGAGAGGGAGGCATAAGGTACGTCATGTAGGTAGGTTGGATAAGCAGGTAGGTAGGCTAGCCAGTGAGCATACAGTCAAGCATTCAGGCAGGTAAGTAGGGATGGCAGGCAGCCAGTCAGGCCGATACAAGTAGGCAGGAAGACAGCTCGAGCCAGACACAGATAGGCGGAGCCGGAGATCAACACACAAGCACCACGATCATCAGGCGGCACACCCGCGTCGTCGCGTCGCCATCGTCGCGGCAGTACCCAGCGCGCTGCGGTAGTCCACGAGGTCGAACATGAGCACGGCGACGGCCGACCAGGTGAGCAGCAGCGCCAGCAGGAGGCCCCAGGCGGCCGGCGAGTGCACCAGCGAGCCCTCCCCGACGACGCCGCGGCGCACCACCTTGCGCAGGATCACCTTCTCGGCGCCGCTCAGCCCGTTCTTGCCGTCCATCGCGTGCGCCGCCTTGCCAGCGCCTGCGCCGCGTAGAGAGAAGTCGAGCCGCGGTGCGTGCGTGCGTGCGTGGAGACGCGCCAGCGAGAAACCCCGATTTGCGACGGTCAAAGTGATTTCCCTGCGCGTGCGGTCGTTGATGCGGCCTGGCTCATCTCGTACTTGCAGCCCTATCAGCCAATGGCGGAACCTCCGCGATTCCTACGGCAGGGGGAGAGTCTTACCGTGGGATAACCACTGCTGACGTTACCCAAAAAGTGACACTCGTTGTAGTGAACCCAGAGGGGTGACGATGGGCCGAGTCATCCGACCGACCAGGATTTGAACTCGTGACCTTCCGATCGCGAGCCGCTCGCTCTGCAGCTGGACCCCCTGGCCAGGAGAAGAGATTAGAACGAATTTGGTTCACAATGGCCGGGTTGGAGACGCACTGAGCCGGTGCTGCTGAGATCCTAGAGTTTCAGACGAGCTCGTGTGCAGGTGCTGGGTGGATCGTTACATCGCAGGACGGTGAGGGATGGCCACGGCATGGGGAGGCTTTCATCCAGCAGTCATCATGGATGATTGGCTGATGGTTTCGTCCCAGTCACCAATCGCTTACAGAGACCCATAGACTCGCATCGGGATCCACATTCATACAGAGAACCAAAGACTCACACAGAGACTCATAGTTTCACACAAAGACCTAAAGACTTAGAGATCCATATATTCACAAGGAGACCCATAAACTTACATCGGGACCCACAGACCCAATTAGAGCTGGGGTTAAACCTGGTTCTCAAATATCGCGAGTTGATCATTCACCACTTGCTGCAGATGTTCACAGTTCGATTCCAGCAGGTAGCCCTGGTTAATACTGCAGATGTATTAACCATGAAACAGCGCTGTCTGTTTCACAGTGGACATTAAAGATCCCGGGATGCCATTGGAAAGAGTAGGCCACTGTGTGTGCCGGTGTCATGGTTGAGATTTGTAAAAAAAAAAAACAGTATCCGCATATGACTAAATTTGGATTACACACAACATCGCTCACTACTGTGAAACTACCGAAGACTGTTGTTTGTGAAACATAGCACCTGAGTGATAAGAATGAGAGGGGAGAGGTAGCAGAGTGCATGAAGGGCAGTCGAGTGAGGTGAGGGATGCGGGGGGGGGTGAGGGACACGGGGGGGGGGTGAGGGACACGGGGGGGGTGAGGGACGCGGGGGGTTAACGCAGGCACGGACATCTGGAAGATGTGGCGCCCATCAACAACGACAAACAAAGCCTTGCACAAGAGCCCAGCGCTTGGCTTCCACCTGGCCACACAGACATGTCGCGTACACGCATTCTGGGAGCGCGACATCCGCAGGCTTCCAAGCGCCGCTCCGGCACGTCCGCAGCTGCCTCTGCCGCTGCGCGGCGACGTCACGGGACCTCTAACGGGGCCCAAGCGAGCGCACGCATGCCACTTCGCGTGGCCACATATGCCCAATACTGTCGCTCATTGCTGGCCGTCCGAGGCACGGAACCGCGAGCCAAAGGGAGCGCTCGGAGCTGTCAAGAGCCCTCCGCGTCACAGCGAGCCTCACGAGCCTCGCGCGGGCGGGGGGGGACAAAAGCACGCTGCCTGGAACTGGGTTTCAAGGCTCAATAATGCCAACTGGAGTATCAGCACGCACACACAAACACAACGACCCCCAACACCACGTAGCCTACAGAAACTTGGGGCAAGTGCTGTTCAGAAAAAAATCAAAGCGATTTCCCGGGTTGAGCCAGTGGGAGGACATTCCACAATCCTATGATGATGATGATGGTTGTACCTGAGTCGACTCCCCAAACCAGGATTTGACCTTCCGATAGCGAGCCGCTGGCTTGCCCGCTGAGCCACCAGGCCGGATGGAGTGCCGCTAGTGATCGTTGGCTAAGGGCAGTGGCGTGGTGGGTAGCACACTCACTCGGCTACCAACCTCCTGATGAATGATGATATTTATATCCGCAAATTGTCGAAGCTGCATCAACTTCTTTACGCGCGGTGTGCGCGCGAGACAATCTATGCGCGTGTGTATAAATGTGATTTGGAGTGTACGTGTGTTTGTGTCCGTGTTTGTGTGTGTGTGCGGAGCAGTGGTGCAGCAGTTAGCGCAGTGCGCTACGAACTCGGCGACCCCAGTTCGATTCCCGTTCACGGCCAACACCAGTGACGATTATCTGAACTGGTCCAGGTCCTCCCCTATGTAGACTCAGCCTCAAAATGAGTACCTATTGATGTGTTAACATTATCACTGGGTATCACTAGGGAGACCAAGGCGGCCAGCCTTAATAGGCAATCGCTAACAACACTTGCCCCGATAGCATATTAAAGGAATGTTTGTCGTGACAAACACACGTACATATTTACATGAACCTTAATTTTAACGAATGAGCACATTGAGGCAAATGTCTCTCTTGCACGAGAGGCCACAGGTGTAAAACAACACACGAGCTCGGACAGAGATAACCAACACAGCCATCATACTGAACAACCTTAATAGAGGTTTTGTTGGGTTAGATCGCGTCAATATAAATGTGTGGTTAATCCCGCCACCACCCGACACAGCCAATTAGTACGGTGTGTCACGTAAACAGTAATTACAACTGGCGAAACGTCGTACTCGAATTGTAAAAGTAGTGGGTTTACTCTCCAACGCACCAGTGTGCTGAAGTAGTAACGAATCTGCACGTTTTGTTTACGTGACAAACCTTACTAATTGGCTGTGTCGGGTGGTGGCGGGTTTAACGACACATTTTTATATCTACGCGATACAACCCAACAAAACCTCTACTGTGGAACAATATTGGTCGCGAAAGCCCCACTACGTATTAAACTGACTGAACAACCTGTCTCATTAAAATTAGTCTCCGTGTACACGTTAAGTCACTTGCCAATGGACTGCTGGATGAGGTCCAATCATCCCCAGTACCACCACATCGCCACGCGCTGGTCAGCGTGGACCGGCGAAGGTGTGGGGGAATGTCGAGGTGGGGGAATGTCGAGGTGGGGGAATGTCGAGTAGGGGGAATGTCTGGTGGGGTTTCGCTGCCCACCACGTGTCCCTGCGGTCCACAGCAACCTGGCGTCCATGGTAGCCACCCATGCCACCACGATCCAGGCTGAGAATCCTGCTTCGATTCCGAGGTCTGACGTCACGCGATTTTGGACGATTTTTGACCCCCCCCCCCCTCGTCGTCACACGGCGTCACAAAAAGTCAGACCCCCCCCCCTCAAATATGACGTCACAAAGCTCTGCACCCCCCCCAAAAAAAAACATGCTTCAAATCGCTTTAAACTGTTGTCATTGTAGTGCGCATTTAATGTGGCGCTGCACTCTGATGTTGTAGGAGAAAACATTTATTAAAAAATATATTTAATTGAGTAGAACGTGTTGTCTACATTTATTTAAAGTTGCGCATTTTGATGTGACGTCACATTTCTCAAACCACCCCCCCCCCCTTCGTCACACATCGTCACAAGTGTCTGACCACCCCCCCCCCCCCCCAGGTGCGTGACGTCATTTATGGACGGCCCCTTAGAAACAATATGAGCGAGCACGGAACATAATAAGAACACTGTACATCTCACGACGTATATCCCACACAGGTCACTTCGGGCTCCTCTCGCCACGGGACCCCCCCACCACCCACCCAACGTCGACCGGCGTAGCCCGATTGGCCAACTGGAGCAAGTTCTGTGAGTGAGCACCTATTAAGGCCAGCGCACCACGCACGGTGCCGCCAACTTTGTGATGTTTGCGCACAGCGGACTGGCCGTTATTTAAATCTGTTGACCTCGGGTCCACGATATCAATTTCCCTTCTCGAACGCACACGGGCAGCGTAGCGCACGTGAGCGATTTCCAAACGGATCGTTCGCATCGGGGAACGGATGCCGAGAGCCACAGAAGGAGTAAAATTGGAAGAAAAAAACTTCCCACCGAAAAATAAATTTCTATCCGCGTTGGCCTCCGAGGTTCACGACAAGGTCATTACCGTCATCATTTCCCGCACCTCCGATTAGCGCGGTTGGCTACGTATGGCGCGAAAGAAGTTCAACACGCATTCGTACATTTGGGATTAACACCACGCCTCCCAATCAGGACACGTGTGGACGCCAGAGCAAAGCGGTATTTAGCGATTTGTGTTTGATCCAGTGCCCAAGTGGGAATGGGCAATGGGAATTATGATCACGCCTTTAATCCATGTCCCCCAAAAAATAAAACCTTCCCTCACATGTTCTTAAAAGTCAGACAAAAATGGGACATACGCGAGCTGGGATCGAACCCGGGGTGCCAGGTTCATGGGGCAGTGCGCCAACTGCTCTGCCACCGCTCGCTACAAAATAAACCGCATGCAAAATCCGAAATTTAAAAGCATCGGTACTCACAAGCGAACGGCCACCACACACGCGCATACACACACGTGCACACACACACGCGCGCACACACACACGCGCACACGCACACACACACGCACACACGCGCGCACACACACACGCGCACACACACGCGCACACACACACAAGCACACACGCGCACACACACACACGCGCACACACACACACGCGCATTCCCGTCACCTTGGGTCCCCGTCCAGCAGCAAGGCACGCGCCCACACAGAGGTCAGAGCAGAGCCTTAGAGGTAAAGGCGCAGCCCTGCAAGTGCTCGCTCACGCCACTGCTGGCGGAAGGCACTAGACTAGAGGGAGCTCTCTAGAGCCCCGCTATCGAGGGTAATTTGGCCTACTCTTCCACCCTAGCCAGGCACCAAGGGTGGAAGAGTAGGGAACGCCCGCACTTAACCCCACCACGCGCTACCAGCCGATCGACTAAAGCCTTCAAACCGCACCTAAAAACCGGCCAAGCAAACCGACCGAGCCCTCACCGTCCGCTTTGTTCATCTCCGTCATCATTCCGCGCAGCAGCAGCAGCAGCCACCGCCGCTAACAGCGCGGAACTGAGATGGTGGTGGTGGTGGTGGCTTCGTTAGTCCCGTCCGTTCACGCCGTCAGAGCACGCCCCCCCCCCCCCCTCGCAAGCACCGCGACTCTTTTTGGGTGGCACCGCCGCTACCGCCGCCGCTGCCGTCCAAGAGGAGTGTGTGGGGCTCCTGCCACGGGCTGCCACCCTCTGCCACCCGCCGGCTGAGCCGCAACGGCCGGCGCGAGCACAGAGCGCCGCGCGTCTCGAGAAAGCGGTGGCGCATCAGCTGACGTCCAAAATAGAAACGGGCGAAATGTGGCGGTGGTGGTGGCTGAGGGGCGGATGGGAGCGCGGCACTGACACCCGACACCGTTCGCCGGGGCTCCTCGGGAGCTGACGATTACGTGGTGTCGCTGGGAACGCGGGGGAAGAGGGAGGTGGTGGTGGTGGTGGCGCGAGCGGCGGTGGTGGAGGTGCGAGCCGGAGAGCGTGTGGGAGTGCCGTGCGTCAGCCGCCCGAGTGAAGGGTGGATTTGAAGATGCCGCAGACGTCCATTCGTCCATGCCCACAAACGTGGTGGTCATCCAGCACGTGTCCTCAGAATACCGGGGCTCGTACGAGGCCAGGCTCCCCCGCTTAACAAACCCCGCTATTTCCATGCAGACCAAATTTAGCCCATTTGCAGCGATCGCTTTTGACTTCCCTGCAATTCGGTACCTACTTTATCGACCCCTAGAGGGACGATGATTGGCTGAGTCAACCCACAACCAGGGTTTGGACTGGCAACCGTCTGATAGCGCGCCGCTCGTTCAACCGCTGAGCCACGAGTGCTGATTAACACCGCCCTCTGCTACAGAAGCAGCGAGTGACCAGGAAAACATCTCCCTTTGTTATCACATTCACACGACGTGCCTGTAAGTGGAATCCACATACCGTGCCTGTAAGACACAATCAAAGACATTGCTCTTATCTTGTCAAATGTTCTTAGGCTGCGTGTACCAGGCTGTTTGGCATACGTTATACGCTTTGTTAACGAGATAGAGACTTTAAAGTGGTGGTTAAGAGCGCTCAAATGTAGAGAAGAGGCAATCAGTCAGCTCAGCTGATTATAATTAATCGAATAAAAATTGCGGTCAGTTACTCAGAACGACCATTTACAAATGACAGGCACTTCCCCACCCTGCTTCCCGAAGGCAGGAAACCCCCTCCAAGCCACGCCCAGCGAGACATGGCTGATGATTTCTATGACGTCACCTAGTCCCGACCATCACCTCCCGTCCAGCGGCACACACGGAAACAAAGGCGAGACTTCCCCCCCCCCGATTACTTTTGTGCTATCCGATTTTGCTGCTTAATGGAACCGATAATCGGCGCAGAGATCGGCTCCTCAAAAAAGCGGAGCGCCCAGGTCTGCTCTTGCGCTCTCACTGCGGCGGCGTGATATTAACCAGCCCGCACTGACCGGCGTGGTGAAGTATGGCCGGCGTATCTGTTCCCCAACGGTAGTGCAGGTCGGACCCACGGTCCTCCGTCGCACCCCCACAGCGCTGATTTAATAGAACATGACAGCGGCAGGCTAACCGATTTTACGCGAACCCTGAGCAACAGTCAAATGCTTCGCCGAGCAAATTCACTAAATGGATGTCACAAACTTCAAATAACGCAACGAGCAGCATAGGAACGGACACTGCCGTGTCACATGAGTGACACGTGAGTGACACGGCAGTGAACACGACAGTGACATTAGAGGCACGCCTACAGCCCTACTCCCAATTCCACTGCTGAAGGAAGACCTCCCCCAATGCCGTGTGCTCTGAGCCAATCGGCCGGCCCAAACCCCCTGTGTGGTGTTTGTGAATGGCGTAAAGAGAATTTCTACATTGAAAACTCATTCTCGACTGAAGAGTCATTTCTTCAGAACTGCTTTTTGTGTTTAGATTGTTGTCCTTCCCCGCATCTTTGATTCGCGCGGTTGGCAACGTGCGGTGCGAAAGAAGCTCAACATAGTACATCCATTCAAGGTCAACATACATTCATTTGCTACGGATGTTCAAAAAGCCATGCTTCGCCATCACCTCTGGCACTATTGCTATGAATTCTATAAGTGACCTCTCTCGTGTCTGAGGCTGTATAGACGGTTTATTTACATGAACGTCTGTGATGGGATATTTTGACGATGATAGCAATGTCTAGTTATTTATTGTTCATTCTGTTTTGCAGTAACTTCTTGCGTGGGTTTCGTGTCAATTATTTATTATACGGGTCTCGATGTAACTCGCTGAGTATTTGTGTAACTCTACGGGTCTCTATGTAAGTCTATGGGTCTCTGTATAACTATATGGATCTCTATGTAACCGTTTTCTCTCAATGGGTATCTATGTAATTCTATGGGTCTCTGTGTAACTATGGGTCTGTGTAACTCTTTAGGTATCTACAGTGAGGGAAAAAAGTATTTGTTTCCCTGCTGATTTTGTACGTTTGCCCACTGACAAAGAAATGATCAGTCTATAATTTTAATGGTAGGTTTATTTGAACAGTGAGAGACAGAATAACAACAACAAAATCCAGAAAAACGCATGTCAAAAATGTTATAAATTGATTTGCATTTTAATGAGGGAAATAAGATTTTACCCCTCTGCAAAACATGACTTAGTACTTGGTGGCAAAACCCTTGTTGGCAATCAGAGAGATCAGACGTTTCTTGTAGTTGGCCACCAGGTTTGCACACATCTCAGGATTGATTTTGTCCCACTCCTCTTTGCAGATCTTCTCCAAGTCATTAAGGTTTCGAGGCTGACGTTTGGCAACTCGAACCTTCAGCTCCCTCCACAGATTTTCTATGGGATTAAGGTCTGGAGACTGGCTAGGCCACTCCAGGACCTTAATGTGCTTCTTCTTGAGCCACTCCTTTGTTGCCTTCTCCGTGTGTTTTAGGTCATTGTCATGCTGGAATACCCAACCATGACCCATTTTCAATGCCCTGGCTGAGGGAAGGAGGTTCTCACCCAAGATTTGACAGTAAATGGCCCCGTCCATCGTCCCTTTGATGCGGTGAAGCTGTCCTGTCCCCTTCGCAGAAAAACACCCCCAAGGCATAATGTTTCCACCTCCATGTTTGACGGTGGGGATGGTGTTGGGGTCATAGGCAGCATTACTCCTCCTCCAAACACGGCGAGTTGAGTTGATGCGAAAGAGCTCCATTTTGGTCTCATCTGACCAAAACACTTTCACCCAGTTGTCCTCTGAATCATTCAGATGTTCATTGGCAAACTTCAGACGGGCATGTATATGTGCTTTCTTGAGCAGGGGGACCTTGCGGGCGCTGCAAGATTTCAGTCCTTCACGGCGTAGTGTGTTACCAATTGTTTTCTTGGTGACTATGTGGACAGGTGTCTTTTATACAGGTAACAAGCTGAGATTAGGAGCACTCCCTTTAAGAGTGTGCTCCTAATCTCAGCTAGTTACCTGTATAAAAGACACCTGGGAGCCAGAAATCTTTCTGATTGAGAGGGGGTCAAATATTTATTTCCCTCATTAAAATGCAAATCAATTTATAACATTTTTGACGTGCGTTTTTCTGGATTTTGTTGTTGTTATTCTGTCTCTCGCTGTTCAAATAAACCTACCATTAAAATTATAGACTGATAATTTCTTTGTAAGTGGGCAAACGTACAAAATCAGCAGGGGATCAAATACTTTTTTCCCTCACTGTATGTAACTTTATGGGTCTCTGTTTTCTCTCAATGGGTCTCTATGTAACTATGGCTCTGTGTGTAATTATATGCGTCTCTGTGTAACTCTTTCGTTCTCCATGTAACTCTATGACTCTGTTTTCTATGGGTCTCTATATAACTCTGAGGGTCTCTATATAACACTGAGGGTCTCTATGTAACTCTATGGCTCTCTGTGTAACTTTATGGGTCTCTGTGTAACTCTATGGCTCTGTTTTCTATGGGTCTCTATGTAACTCTGTGGGTCTCTATGTAACTCTATGGCTCTCTGTGTAACTTTATGGGTCTCTGTGTGCCTGCCATGGTCCTGTATCTGCCACTACTGCCGACGCGCTCGGTCCGTGGCCGTCCCTGTAACAGAGCTGCTTAGCTCAATGAGGGCCTCGCCAGCTGAAATAATAAAGTCTGAATCTGATTTCCGACCTTTTCGTGGCTGCCCATACCCTCGGTCCCCAGCGAGTCGGATACGCGGCGTTCTACGATTACTCGTGGTTAATTACGCGTATATTTATGCAAATTATTGACCCCTATGGCTTAGAGACATTGCGTACCGTGAGGCATTGCACGGCACACCAGCCATCGCGATGTGCGACTTCAGGTTGCTCAGGCAACAAAATCTACCTAGAGTTTTCCGGTGATTGATCATTGGAATGTGAAGGCAACGTGTGGCGATGATGATGATGACGACCCACCAAGTGCTGGACTCAGACGAGTTGTCCTGGTCCAGTAATACCTCAACTGAGTCTCCTGGCTCAATCAGGGTTTCCTGGAGTAACATCCCTTCAGAGGGGAGTTTTGGCCAATTCCTACTTAGTGAGTGCTCTGCGCACAGAGGAAGGCGGAGTACATGAAGAGAGCCCACATGTGTAGTGGTTCAACTCGGAGGCAGTAATTCTTGGAGGCACTTCTTTTATTATACACACAATCTCCCTTAACACACCCTACATTCGCCTAGGCTACACACACACCCTAGCCTATACACTACACTAGCCGTCTAACACCGATGGCGCTGACAGCCAACAACCGTATAGCAGCGCAAGATCAAGCGACGACAACTTCCGAGACGACGTTGGACTTGAGCAGCACAACGGGGATCCCACTCCATACGACAGCCCCAAGGTCCCCTCCCGGGGCCCCTCTTATACTGTCAGCGTGGTCTGGCTCCGCCCCCGGCCATGCCCCCTTTCTAGAAGCTACCAGCGGGTTCCTGGTGTGCCCTTTCTGTGACCTTTCCCCTAGATCCCCCTCTGGAATATCACCTGGCCTGCTGATGTCAGGGCTGCCGTAATCCGCAGATGCCCTTCCCTGCCAACAGCCAGCGCTATGCTGCTACATTACTATTGTATGCCACTACACAGGTACCAGATAAGACTCAAAAGCCTGCACGCGTGGTTCGTGGTTTCTCAATTGACATTTTCACTCGGCCATCTCCTGTCCGGTGGATGAGGAGGTCCACCGATGTATTACACCACCTACTTTTGTTAATGGTAAAACTTGTAATTTACAAGGAGATGTTCTCGTAGTGGCATTACAGTCACTCAACTATACCACCTGACTCCTATCACCTGAGACTGGGAAACCCAAGGTGGTAACTCCACTGCCTCCTCAAGCTCGGCCCACGCCGCCGAGGAGTCTGCTGGCTACGGAGGGGGGCTCTCATCTCCATGGGTCCCTGGTGAGAAAGCGGGGTCGTGGCAGAGACCCCCTCGGTCAATGTGGGGTCCTCGCTGCCGCCCCCAACGACCACGCTCTTCATTGCGCCCCTTCGCCTTCACGCGCGCGCACGCGCACACGCGTACGTACAAACAAAACACAAAGACAAAGATCCCCCGTATAGACTTAACAGGCTGTCGGGGCAAGTGTTGTTAGCGAGCACCTATGAAGGCCGGCACTGTGGCACACAAGAGGTTTACGCACCGCACCAGGTACTCATTTGAGGCTGAGCCGACCTAGGGGAGGCCCAGGACCGGTTCAGATAATCGTCACCGGTGTTGGCCGTGAGCAGGACTCGAACCCGTGTCGCCAGGTTCGCTGCGCAGCGTAGCGCTAACCGCTGCACCACCGCTCCCCGCACACGCACGCACAGAGACCGCTCCCTCCGTCACCACTCCCTCGCACTCCGCGCAACTACACCCTGGACGTCAGTCTGCAGCTGTTGATTTGGCGAGGCAACGGGTTGCGTGCAGCAACTTGCTATAAATAGCCGTCATAAGTCGCGGGCGTGGGCAGGAATCGGTGCCAAAGGGTCCGTGTGCCCATGGCAGCACACGGAGTTTCGGGCAGCGCCTACGGCTTGTGCGGAACGTTTTATGTCGCATATTAAACAAAAATAAACGGTAATACTTAATTAAGACGGTTTAGTGATGGGTTGTGCTTTATTGCAGCATTCAATTTTCATCGATTTATGGCCACGAGGCATCCGATTGTCTTAATGGCAAAATTAAATGGCACAGAATTAGTGTCAGTCACCAAACGTGGCTCGGTCGGTGTTTAAAGTAAGGGTTTGTCTTAGGCCTTGTGTTAGGCTTCTTGCGATGATTCATAGTGGAATTGCTC